CTACTTGCTGACTGACGTAATCAGTATCATGCAGTTAGCCTTTACTTTCCAAAATTGTACATGATACGCACATTAGGTAGAGTAAATAAGTATCACTTGACTACCAACAAAATAAGATTTAGCAAGACATTTACTCATTAAACTTTATATTGTTGACGAAGTAGTGCGTCATGTCGCTGAGCTGCCCTTAACACCCCCCCCCCCTTTTTTTTTTCCCCCAACGGCCTTTTTTTCCGGACTGCTAATCGAAGACGACTAATTGAAATCATGCTTCGGGGCCAGACGGTGTACGCCATGGCCATATCACATACACTTAAGTAGTGGTGAAATACTACGAGTTGCGTGGGATTTTATTGATAGTATCTAAACGTCAAATTACCAGATGACTGATGACATCGTTATCTTAAACAATTCCACACCTATGGAGGGAGTCCTCACAACTCAGCAGCTATAGAATCATAACTGTGGATCTGGTCCAGTGGATCCACATCGCGAGAGAAGCTATGGGGGACCGGTGGCGACCTTAAACGCAAAATCCTATTTTTGACCCAGACAGGACTCAATGTGTAGCATGACTGATGTCGAACGCAGAAGAAGTAGAAAAAGAAGAATCATTACCTTACGAAATGTGTATGGAAAACTTCTGGAAAATTGTGTCGAAGCAACTGGTGTCAAATTTAGACACGCTTCCTAACACCATGGGCAGTTATAGCAGTTATATCCCTATGGATTGATGTTCATTTATGCTGGTGCTTGGCTTGCCTTGTGTCGGTGGCGGTGCTTGGGCTTCAGCGCCAGGAGTTGGCATTCTGCTATAGAAGGATCCCGGTTGCGAGCCAAGCTTTGCCAAAACACACACTGTTCCTTTTCAGGACAATCAGGCATCACAATGTTTTGTTGTGAGCAGCCGTCTGCCCCCCCCCCCCTTAATCAACTAATGGTGTAGAAGTGGCTAGTTGCGTATCCTTCACAGGACGTCGCAGAACCAACCACAAAAGCGCCTGGTTGTTGTGTGGTTTTTATACCACTGTCGAAACCAACCCAAGGCGCATGGCCCGCAGCTTTCGATCGAACCCGGCATCCCGGCATTACGAAGGGTTCGCATCGACTCAGCCACAGAGCCGACGGTGTAGAAGTAATGGAAGTAATAAAGATTGCGAAAGAGGATTGAATGCGCCAAGAGATTTTATAGTAAGGTCAGAAGGCCAAATTGCTTGCTAATATTCTGCTTGGCACCCGGCTGTGCCTTTACTACTGTCCCGAACTCGCGGGAGCAGTGTTCGTATATTACATCACCAAATTTAGTAAGCTTGTCGCCTAGCGGCTTCTTGTTTAGAGTTTGTTTAAGTATCTCACATAATGTACCCTCCAACTTACACCACACCACCTTCTCGCTCGCAGGTGGAAACCTGATCTTGGAACGCACTTCTTCAGAAATCATCAAAGGTGCTCCTCCGCAGTCGACGTCATGGGCCTCTCCGGGCGAGTGGGGTTCACCCTGCCCGTCGTACCCTGACGACTCAGAAACTACCACAGGAGTGGTATTTTTGCGACGGCGTTTACTGCGTGGAGCACCCTCGCATTTCATTCTTCCGGCATGCGTTCTCAGACCATGCAACCCCGTGAAGCTTTTCCCACATGTACCGAGCCAGCCCGGACGTTGGGCGAGTGTCTCAGTCCGGGGGCTAGCAAAGTCATCAACGAAGGTATCAATCAGATTGGGCCCTTCATTCTCCCCCCCCCCCTTTCGGAGGGCCCTGGGGGCATATTTCATTGTGGTCGTACGAAATCGGAGGTATTATACTGTGTTAGGGGTGATCAACCCGGTCCACAGTCGACATCTGTCTCCAGATGTCAGTTTATCCCCCCGGCGATACCGGGGGGCCAGTCTTTCCATAGGTGTCAAAAGGTCTTTCCCGATAGTCACCAGTCTTTCCTGGTAGTCTTGTGGGCTAGCCACGTACAATAAGAATAAACTCACAGGGAGCAAGTACAGCGGGGATCTACAGTCATCAGTAGAAATTATCCTCTTTCGACACACGTTTCGGCCCACGATTCCTAAACGTATTCGGAGGTGGGCCCACCTGAGTTCATGAAGCTCAGGGCTGCTTCCCCGCTGCACAGAATTACCGGATGGTGTTATTATTTCGGCCAGAGACAAGACGACTTAGTGGTTTCGAAGGAGGTACTGTGAGATAAGAAGCCGCCACGGCAGCGTAATTAGAACAGTCCGCATGCCTGGACGACCGAGCGACAAGCTTACTTTGGTTTACCGGACACATGTTGGACTTTTATTAGCAGTTGGCAGAGGGACACTGGCAGACAATTCGTACACGATGGACTTTCAAAGGGATGAGAAACTCCTTTCCGCTAGACACCCGGACCAGCTCACCGAGGCCCGTCCCCTACGTTGTTGCGCTGCGTCCACAGCCAGCTAGAGGCCCTTTCGGCTGCCTCTCCCAGTTTTTTGAGTGTTCGTTTCCGTTCATTACCGCGCAATCCCAGTTCTTTAACCACATTGTAGAGCGAAGTGGAAACGAGGCCTCTCGCTCCCACTTCGACGGCAAATACCCGTACTGTGTAAGCCTCGTTTCTCCTCAAACCGGCTGCTAAATCACTGTATTTCTCGAGCTTATACAAATGATTCTCCTCCATCCGCGACTCAAACGGGACCGTCAACTCAATCAGGATGAGTTGCCGTTTTTGCGCAGAATGGAGAACGATGTCCGGTCGCAGGCCGGTTTTACGGATCAACTCGGGATACCGTTCATGCTTGCTTGCTGTACCCCACCAGGACATCATACAGGCAATAAACACAAAGTGCCACCATCGCCATACGAGGATCACCAGTGGAGAGGTCCCAGAAACCCCTTTCAGCTGTTATGTTCACAATTGTGGCCCAGCTATATTCAGGGCCCCCGGCAAAATCCAAGGTGGGGTTTCAAATAACGAAAAATTGCATCCAACAAGGGGATGACTAGGATGAAGGCCACATATCCGATCCCGTCCCTTCTATACTCACGACTTGCCAGATTTATGACCGCTTGCATCCTAATCACAATTATTCAACAGGCCCGTTGGTGTCCTGCCTTATATACTCCAAAGGAAAGATGACACGAATACGCTTGGGACAAACCATGCTGCTGCAGATGTCGGATCAGAATGGCACTGTTCTGTGCGTCCGCCTGCCCGAGCTTCGTTCGTAGACCAGTTGCTAACCCAGGCTATAAGCCTGGTCTGCCCTGACATAACATTGTTTTTAAATTGTATTTCCTCGTCCTGGCACAAGTAAGGTTAGTCTCCTCCGAGCACTTCTCCATCTGAAACTATTGGGACGATGTGGGATGACAGTCTGGTTAAATCGTTCAACATCCTATGATAACAAAGACAATATTACTGACAACTGATACACGGAAGCTTGTTATATCAGTCTAAAACTTAAAAAAAATGTATATATATATATATATATCATTTGAACAGAATATTTCCCGTTACCCAAACGAAGAGTTAATATTCTTAATTTTAGAAAATCGGTCAATATCTGTCGTTTTTCCGGTTGATACACTAGACATCAGGCTTAGAAGTAAATCTAATTCAATCAAAAAGCACACGAGCACGTCTATGTCATCTCCGTGGCAAAGAGACGAGACTAACCAACTTCTCATGGAAATAATCAGCAGAACCCTGAATTATTTATGTACCAATAAACTCACTATACGTTCATTGCTTACTATTTATATCGTTAAAGTTTCTTTACCTATTTGTTCGATTATACTATTATGCTTCTACTTACACATTAATTGTTACTATAAACAGACCTATCCAAAAGCTGCATCTTTCAGTTACATAAGACTTTAAAAAAAAATTTTGCGGTAAGATATAAATGCTCTAGCATAGACATTGTCGAATCAAATATTATATATGACTAAAAGAGTTCTCTGTGAGGCGGCCGGTGTGATGCTGACCACACCACTAACCAAGTGCCGATTGGTCTATAACAGTATAGGTCTAGCCCTGTATTGCCACCACGCTTAAAGGCGTGGAAAATTGACCTTGTTTTTACACTGAAAGAGTTAACTTTTACGACATCTCTGTGGCAGGTTCCGCTCTCCCCCCCCCCCCCCCCTTTTTTTTTCCAATTTTCCCGGTCGGACCAGGGACCAGGGCTGCGAAAGTTGGTACTTTGCTATAAGTTAAGTACTGTTTGACCTTTGCTGGACAAAACTGTACTATTGGTACCACACTGGATGTTTTAGTACTTTTTAGTGTGGAATAATCAGTTTATTGACTTTGTCATTTTGTTCTGGATTCAGTACGTGTTGTTGAAGATGTGACCGACTTGTCATGTAATTTACCAAGATTGTTTAAAAAAAAAAAAAAAAAGAACATATAAACAAATGAATACAAAATGGAGAAAACTAAGAGTGCAAGATCAACACTCTAGTGCTGGAAAAAAACACAGAAACTATTTGGTATACAATTTCAGAAGTAAAATGGGAAAATTAAAATCGCTTTCCATTAGTATCAAAATATCCGCATCTCCTGAAGCTTTGCTCGTGAGTCCTAGCCATCTAGTTTACCCCCAATCCACATCGCGTGAGCGGCGTGGGGGACTTCGTGGCGGTGGCAGTAGTCGCCGGAGAACCGCAAAATAGGTCACGTGACTGAGGTTCGAAAAGATATTTTGCGGCTGCCATCTTTACCGCCCGTTATTTGGAGGATAGCCACATGTGTGTGTGTGTTTTGGGTTTTATTAAAGACACTTTGACGCTTTTAACTAAAAAGTGAAAACTTTGGAATTTTTTGGTTTTGGTACCTTTTTGTAAAAATACTTGACATTATTCCCAAAAAGATTTCGGCAGCCCTGCCCGCAACCCATACGGAAATAATAGAGTGCCAAATACAGTGCTGTAGCTAGTTAGATCATTTCTAACAATAAACGACCCCATCTTTTTTCGACAGTGTAATCAAATTCACGAGCTGCTCCCAGTCAAAACAAAATGGCATCTGAGGTAATGGTGGAAAAGTTTACATTCCGCTGTTTAGAAATTGTTGAAATGTTTTAATGTTTTGATAAAACTTGAACATTGTTAATAACAATGCCGCAGTTTTTGTGCATTGATAAATCTTAAATGTTCCACAGTATACATGCACAGGTATAAGACATTTTGTTGAACATGATGAATGAATTCCCTACAGTCACGACGCGGTGACCACACTTCCGCAGTGTAAACTGTTTTTAGTTTTTACTGTCTAGGTTTAGACTTAGACGACTGATCAGCATCATGGGATAAGGGTAGTAACCCATAAATGCTCCATTCTACTTCTAACTCAAACCAGATTCCGAAGAATCTCAGCGCATTGCATGAACACTGTAGTTAGGTACTTCAGTCAAATTTTTAAAATGCCCTCTACACCAATAAAACCAGCACAGTTAGATAGCTGTAAACAATCTCTTTCCAATGGTACCTCATTTAGGCTTGTATGTCATTTCTGAGCTGAGATATGTAGGTTTTTGTGGAGATGAGATGTAAGAAACAGCCGCTAAAACTTGTGACCCAGAAACAAGAAGTTTTTTGACTGCGCAACCTACTGCGCAGTTCTGTATCGGCTTTGTTGACATTGGACTGTCATTGGACAAGATGGCAGGCAGTGAGACTCAGCTCACTCAGCCGCATGCGATTGCCTAAAAAATGTCACTGTAAATCTAAACAACCAGAGTCGGTAAAAAAAATTTAATATGCAAATGTAAAATTGGACGGAGAATTCAACTGTAACTAGCATTACCACAACTGGTAATGTTTAAGGCCTAAAGCCAACCTCGAATTTACCGCTATTTTTTAATCAAACTGATGACTAACAGAAAAACAGAGGAGTCCGGCTGTCGTAGACATGCGCTGTTAATCGGGTTCCCCCACGCTGTTTTCAGCTATTTATAGCTGGTCCAAATTCCCACCAATGGCAAAATTTCATGAGAGATTTGGACCCATACGGAAACCAGCCGAGATTTCCCGAACAAGTTCTGAACGGTTTCCGGGTAACGGAACTTGCCGAAAAGACCGCAAATTGTCGAAACTGTAGTCCCTACTGTAGTGCAAACAAATACCCTAACAGGGCCTCAGTCCTGTACAAAATGCGGAGTTTCTGCCGAGGAACACATCTTGGCCAAACTAGGATTACTTGACAATTTCAAGGGACGCAACATTGCAGACGATAGCAGCAGACAATAATAGCGACTGTTGACAATTTTGAGTGTTTCTGCAGACGATACTAGTGACCATTGACAATTTCAAGGCACGCAACATTACAGACGAAAATAGCGACATGGCGGGGAGACCACACGCTTTGATGTAGATTAGCGATAGTGTTCTTCCGATTAAACTCAACGCTGAGCGTATCCCCCGCACCGCTACGCACGGTATTTGTTTGGCCACCATAATATCGGGTAGAAGTTCAGAGGAGAGCCCCAAATTTTGCCTGGGCAACGTAACGGTCATTAAGCTATTCTTTTTGAATTTGAACATGCTTAACAGTACACATGGCCATCTTACTACCCAATGACGGGGAAAAAAACTAGAAGTCCACGTGAACAAATCCCAGCCTTTACCTGGGCTTGAACCCGGGACCTCTAGCACTCGAGACGGACGCTATGCTTTGAGACCACACAGCCCCTCCCCACTAAACTGTTTAGTAAAGTGATAAGTCACCAACTGGAAGCAGTAGTCTACTGAGCAGAGAAGGTTCATTATGTAGGACCCAGATCCTGTTTTTTTTAAGGGTGGGCGGGGTGGGGTGGGGGTAGACCCATCGCTCCCTAACAAGCATTTCATAGGATTCAATTAGGGATGTTTCCTTTGAAGTCGGAGTGCATCTGACTGAGAGGTGAAGAACCAACTGTCTGCACAGCACACTCATAAGCCGAATCTGCAAAATATATCTGCATGCAAAACTCAGGTTCTGGGACAAATCTAAAGTCCAGAAGTGGATGAACAACCAGAACTTTCCACTGGAGTTTACAACTGGTGATCGTGAAGAAGAAAAGTAGAGACTAACAATAGTAATCATTATAAATATTAACTGGCAAACATCTAAAAGTACACTAAAGTACCAATTGAAGGCTCTCTCTTAGGAATCAAGTGAGCAGAGTAACAGAACAAACAAAGTGTCCATATCATCTGGAGAGATTCAAAATGTTTTAGCTTGGCATTAGCAGAAGGTTTTGATTTTCTACATCTGGAATGGGGGGGGGGGGGGGGGGGGGGGAAGAGGCCATATACTTAACTCTTTCAGGGCCACATTTTTTTCTGGGGTTTGAACAGCATTAATTTTGAGCAGAATTTTCTTTTACTACTTCACAACGAAGCTAAAACCTTCCTAAAGAAAAAGTATTGCCTGCATCGGGACATATAATATATCAATTAAAGATAAATGAATGCAAAATAAATCTAGATTATTTGAGTGTCAGTATTACAATAAAATATTATCAAAATCCCTCAACATTCAAGGATGTTAGTTACATATAAAGATTATTTACATAAACAGAATTGTGCTTACCTTACTTTTTTACTTGTTCAGCAACACTGCTATCCAATTCTAAGAATGCACATGCCTTCTTTGTTCAAATGTGTATCAGCTAGTCCTTTTTTTAAAAACAAATAATTTAAATACTTTGGAAGTTATGATAATTTTTGTATGACAAATTTCACAACAACCGAAAATCTGGAAAACAGCTGATTGAAACATTGATCCAATTTAAATATTTTGTTCAGTTTTCGTATCCTAAACTAAATTATCGCCAATAGGTTTTTCACTTAGATATCAATCATAATATCAAGACTGTTGTCACCATCTCGCAGAGATTCATCAACTACAGAGCAGTATGAGCAGTTCTAGACCTTTCCCCTTATCATATAGTATAGAAAAGTCGCATAAAAATTGTATCACATCTAAATAATTTTTTTAAAATCAGAAAGTGTCGCAAAAGCCACGCTGAAATTTGCAAACAAAAGGACTTCCTGTTGTTGATACTAATTTTTCAAAAATTTGTTCATAAAAGTTAGTTTTCCCCACAAACGGAACAAAATTAAGAGTGTCTTTATGATACGCCAGTTAGCGTCCGATAGGGATAAATTCTCAAGCCAGTTAACTGGCGACTTGTCTTCAAAGAGTTAATGGAGCTAACACAAGTAAGTAGCAGATGCTGACTACACAGTCCCAGTTATAAGCCTCACATTCCTTGCCTATAGTAAATATTTAGAAAAATGGTTATTACTTGTTCTTACCAGTTATTTCCTTTTACTGGGAATTTAGCACCAGAGAAATCTAACAAAAAAAATGGTTAAGTAGTGAGGTAATGTAAAAATCTAAGAGATAAGTAGAATAAATAGGTTAAGCGTAACAAAACAGTGGACGGAGATAAAATTAAGCAAGAGCTAAAAATAAAGAAAATGTCTAGGACAGAGTGGGTTTATGAAATAATTATTTGGGGCGAGACAAGTTGTTAACTATACAAGTTAATGCATATAGAATAATTTTAGTCTCTCACCCTCACAATCGTCTGTGGCTTAGGCGTTGCGAACACACTTTGTAATGTCGGGGTGCCAGGTTCGATCCCTGCTGCGGGCCTTGCGTCTTGCTTTGGTTTCGACTGTGGTACTGAGAAGCTGACCATCCAGAAAGCAATGGCAAACTACTGGACGTAAATTTGCCTAGAAAAACCACAACAGCCAAAAAATGCTGGGGTTGGTTCTGCAATGTCCTGTAAAGGATACACAACTATCTTTAAACCTCACAATCTGGATATAAACAGCAAAAAATGTTTGTGATTAAACACTGTCGTTGGAACCTCTGAATCATCCTCACAGTGTGGATATTATCAGCAAGAATTAATGGGGTTAAATACTATCAGAGAACATTGAATAATCCTTAGTTTGGATAATAGCAGTGAGAATTAATGTGGTTAAATACTGTCATAGAACATCTGATCAACCAACAGCAAGAGCTATTGTGGATAAATACTGTCACAGAATATCTGAATCATCCTCACAGTTTTGATTTAAACAGCAAGAGCTATTGTGGCTAAGCATGTGGCAGTGACCAAGGCAGTAGTAACATGGCTGGAGACACAAACCTTCACACGCGCATGAGTTTTCAGTGACTCATTAGTATGCTCAGGAAGATAAGAGATGGATTGTGTCCAGAAACAATTATTGGTGACTCTGAGGTGGTCAGAGCTGAAAAGGTCAGTTTCATTTTCGTGCCAGGACACACAGGTGCACAAGAAAATTATCAAGCTGATAGGCTTGCAGGTAAAGTAATGTGGAGGGCAGACAAGCCTTGGACCTGGCTAATACACTGAATGCACTACAAGAAGTAAGAGAATTGTAAGATCCACGTGATGACTGTGAATCTGCAACCATCACCAGACTACAAGGACAGCATATTTAAAATTGTTTGGCCAGACAAAAGCACTATGTACGAAGCCAAAGAGGAGTAAAAAAACCAACACAGAACTGGTGGCATCTACCGCTACTAGCTGTGAGGAGTGGATTCAAGCACTTATGGACTGAATGGTTCAGTGCGCAGTGAGGATAATCTGTCAACTAACTGTCATACAGCATCTGAATCATCCTCAGTTTGAAAATAAACCCCAAAAAAATATTGTGGTTAAATACGGTCATAGAATGTTAAATCAGCTTCCATTAACAACGCAATGTCACTTCTGAGAATTTCTGCAACTCCAGAATTATATTTAAAAAAAATACTGCTGACAAAATGGCAACAGACACCTAGGAAAAAATATAGTTTTGCCAGTGTCACTGAAGCAAACATAGGTGTTTAGTTAAAGAAAGTACACATATGTCTGCAGCAGAGAAAAGGCAGCAATTACACACAAGATTCTTGTCAAAAGGACCTTAATTTCCATGTATAAATTTCCCTCATAAACTTTTTAAATGGAAATTAACCGGGTGAACAAATGCTTGGTAAAGTCGGCTGAAAGGCGCAGATACTGCAGCTTTGCTGTAAACAGGAGCACCACAATTACGTCACTCAGGCGAACGATAAAAAGAAGATGCCCCCCATGTATAAGACGACCTCCACTTTTTGAGCTCCAAATTAAGAAATAAATATTTTGAACACATTCAATGCATAAGAAATCCCCCATATTTAAACTGGACAAATTTGAGAAAACATCGTTGAAACCATGAGCTATACAGAAGCAAAATTTTTTGTGTTGTAACTGCACTAATACAATTGCTATAAAGATTGTGCTGCAGTCCTACAACAATTTCGCTCACTCGGTATAGAGCGATTATTAGCCACAATGCTTACTCTGTCATCTCTGTTGGATGACTTTTGTTACAAATTGCTGTAACAACTGTAAGTTAAATATAAGTTACAGTAGAAAGATTGTGTGCATGATAATTTTGTGTATTTTTGCTTTAACAAACATTACAATCCCCCCCCCCCCCCCCCCCGCTCGCGTGTCAATCTAGAGCATTGGATTGGATGATATTGTGACAACCCTAATGTCAATGGGATTTGAGTTTAATGATTGCCAGGAAGCAATTATCAATGGCAAACTTACAGTTCAAGCAGCCATTGATTGGTAAATTTTCATATATAAGTGAATTAATGTTGATGGTAAATTGTTGTATATAAGTGAATTAATGTTGATGGTAAATTGTCGTATATAAGTGAATTAATGTTGATGGTAAATTGTCGTATATAAGTGAATTAATGTTGATGGTAAATTGTCGTATATAAGTGAATTAATGTTGATGGTAAATTGTCATATATAAGTGAATTAATGTTGAGGGTGAATTGTCGTATATAATTGAATTAATGTTGATGGAAAATTGTCATATATAAGTGAATTAATGCTGATGGTAAATTGACATATATAAGCAAATTAATCTTTGTGGTAAATTGTCGTATATAAGTCAGTTGATAGTAAATTGTCGTATATAAGTGAGTTAATGTTGATACGCAGAACCATAAACAGGACAATGATGATGCTGATACCCATAGATGTTCCACCTTCTGCAGCAAATGGTGTTGTGGGTGCTGACTGTTTCAGTAGCACACGTGTTGTACACACATAGTTCTCTTTCTCTCATATGCCCTTTCTTGTCAGATCCATACTTAATTCCAAATTCATGCAACCTTGCACACATGGGGCTTCATCTAACATTGTAAATTCTATTAGAAATCATTCATAAATAGTTTGTCTATATGTAAGTAAGTAAATTTTACCCCACCAGGGCATCACACAAAGCGATAAACACCCAGTGACACAAAGTGCCACCATGCTGATGAGGATCACTCGTGGAGAGGTCCCAGAAACGGTGTTCAACTGTTCAGGCTATATTTTGGCTGCCAGAAAAAGGTGTGATGGGGCTTCAAAATAATAAAAATTGGGTTCCACATGAGGATGGTGTTTTTTATTTTTATTTTCATATGTATGTCTGCCTTGTTCAGTTTAAACATTCTTGTGGTTGTCGCTTTTGCAGCCAGAACAATTGACTCATTCATTTCTTCTCATTAATGCATTTCTAGGGCATACATATCTTGCCTTCTTTGGCATGAATATAAAGTCCTTTGCCACTGAATTTTACTTCAGAATGTACATTCAGAGTTCATGGTGTTACACACATGTATTGTTGGAATATAATTTGACAGTAGTTCAGTGTCTGTGAAACAGCAACTGCTGAATGTCTTTGATCATATAAGATCATGTAAAAATAACTGCTTTAGATATTATAACTATTAACATAACAGCCCTTGACCCGTTTTTTTTTTTTTTTTCTTTTTTTTTTTCCCAACTATTACATTAGGTTGTTGTCTGGCAAGCCAGGAAATGTTGTAGATTCTCAGCCTTCATTAAAACTCAATAAGGTATTTCATTAAAAACTAGCTTTTACCCATATTGTTATATTATTGTATGTATATTGAATTGCTTATATAATCTAGCATAAGTTTCTTCTTTTCCTTTTTCTTCTTATTGTTCCTGTTCTCTTTCTTCTGCATTTGCCATTAAATTGGTGGTTGGAAGATTGTTCTGTGGTTTACAGCTAGGCTCTGATATCTACCTCTTTTGGCCCAACACATCCTATTTAAGGGAACTTGTCATTAAAGGTGACTAACTGGGTGTTTTCCTTGAAGTCAGTGTGCATCTGCGTGAGAAGCAAGGAACCAACAGTCTGCATGCAAGAAAGTCAGATCCGTAAAATGCCCCTGTGCATAGAAGACATGTTCTGGAACAAGTCATAATAAAGTCTCGATGTAGACGAACAACTAGAACTCTCCGTCAGAGTTTACAGCCAGTGAGGGCTAAGAAGAGGAAGAAGAAATCATATCATCTTGAACATCATTGTGGTTAGTGAGTTGTTTGGGACCTCATGGGTTAAAGAAAACAGGCACTTAATCAGCATCACACCTCATAAACTGAAATATCTTGACCAAATTAAAAGTAATTGTGACTGGGAAATAACAGTAATGAAATGAACAAGTTTCTGAAAGAAGAGGCAAAGAAGCAGAAACGCAGCAGAAACTGAATGCTACAGAAATCTTAGATTTGACGGTGCAAGAAGCAGGAGAATTGCTACTTGATGATGATGTCTCATTTTTTACCATTAGTGGAAGTCACTCCTCGCTGCATCACTCTCACCAGACTGGTGATCATTATGTTTTCCCTAATTGTACACATGCTTCCATAAGGCATTAACTGTGTCTGCCTTATCATGCCTCAGTATTCTAACAAGTTGTGCAGAGTCAGCCGGTCTGTCTGTCTCTTTATTTCCTAACACACCAAGATAACCTGGAGAAAAGATCCAGACAGCGCTCTTTACCTTTGACCTCTAAAGCAAAGCATGGCACTCTAAGTTTAGGTAACTAAAATGGAATGGATTTGAAGTACTTGGCAATATTTCCTGACAACAAAATTAAAATCTGAAATTCTTTTATGTGCCGAATCATATTTTCTAATATTTGTTTGCTTGTTCTACCCTTTAACCCCCATTAGAGCATAGACCCTCCACTATTTCACACCAAACTGTCCTATCGCTTAAGATTGCCTGCAGCATTCCTGTGTTATTGCCATATAATTCACATGTATGCTGTTTTTCTCCTTGTATTTGAATTCTTCCTATGCTTCTTTTATCCTGAGTATTCCATAGAAAAGACATTCTGGTTATTCTGTTGGCAAGTTTTCTCAGTCAATTATTTGCTACTGAATGAAATTCACTTATAGACTGCTTTTAATTTGACTTTCCAACTGCAGTCTTCACCACCCCCCCCCCCCCCTATTTTTCTGTCCTTTTCGTTCTAGTATATTGGTTGTTTTTTGCTGTTATCGTACCTAGTAATACACGTAATTATCAGTCAAATAATCTAGTCCTACACAATTGTGTGAAATTGAATTTTCATTAATATTGAACATAAAGTACTATGAATGAATACTGAACATAACTTATTTATCCTTCATTTGAAAGTCCCAGACTTCTGGACAACTCCAGGGCAGCACCAGTAATCCATTTGTTCCAGAAAATGTGACAGCTTTAAGAGGCAGCTCATCCTCTGAGATTTTGTCTTCCTCAAGCATTATGGGAGTGGATGTTGGTGATGACACAGTTGTGAGCCGGTCACACCTTTCTGAGAAGCAGCAGCAGATCAAGTCAAGTTTTGAAGAAAAAGAAAGGCAAGAGGCAAGACGTCAAGTTAATGAAGAAAAGCGCCAGAGGAAATTGGTGAGTACACACTGTTAATACAAAATAAAAGTAAAAATTCTTTTTACACAAACTTGAACTATTTTTGGTTTATAGCTCTAGCACCATATTTGTATGTACAATAATTAGTGCCAGTTGGAACACACGACTGTGAATCCTAGACAATTAATAAACAAGGTAAACAGTTTCTTGAGGCTCGGAAAAGGGGGTTTTACAAAAGATGTCTTGGAATTTCTTGGGCAGCCAAAACGAACAATCCAGATGTTTTGAAAGAGGCAACTTATCACAAACATCAGAGAGAGATGATCATCATTCTTTGGTTATATTATGAGAAGAAGGAGACTGGAACATGTTGTGACTACTGGAAAGATCTGTGGAAAAAGTGACAAAGGAATACAAAAACAAGAAAATTCTCGACAGCCAAGGCATGAAACTGATACATGCTGTTGAAGATCACACATTGTGGAGAGGCATGACTACCCATCACAGTCAGCAAGGTTCTTGATGATGATGAATTGGTGTGCAGCATGTCATGTATCATGCAAGCCACCTATACTTTCTAAAACAATTCCTTGTACCCATTTTATGCTGTCGACCTGGAGCTCAGGACATTACAAACTTTATCTTGACAAGAAATTATTTTCTTCTGTTTTTGCCCTTAAAATTGTGCTTTGCACTTGTGGTGTGGTTAACAGCTAGCCTGTGATATTTGCTTCTTTCAGCCCAAGGCATCGATGAACAAATCCTTTTTAGCTACTTTTTGTAACCTGCTTGTTAAGGAGCAGCTGGTCTTTTCTTCTCTCCCTCCCGCCCACCAAAATTAGCATCAAAGGGTTTGCTAGCTAGTGTGAGAAATCATTTTTTTTCACATACTGTGATCACCAACGGCAGTGGGAAGTCACGTTCTTCTATATACTCTGGTCACCAGCAGCAGTGGGCAATTATGTTCTTCCGCATACTGTGATCACCAACAGCCGTGTGAAATCATGTTCTTCCACATACTGTGATCATCAATGGCAGTGGGAAATCGTGCTTTTCACATATTGTGATCACTAACAGCAGTTGGAAATTGTCCTCTTCTGCATATTGTGATCACATTGTAGGCATTGAATCATGCTAAAGTTGGCAGTTACTTAACTACACATCTGCATGTTGTATTGATAATGTTTTATAAAATTTAGACTGAAACTTCAAACTTTGTCAGGATTGGTGCAGCATTTTCATGTCGAAGGCTTGACAGCATCCACATCTGTCATATATTTGCTATCTTTTGCAACTTTGTTTGGTCTTCATTTTCTTCTTCTTTTGTTTTACTGCTTATGCCATAAAGCATAGCAGAGAGAAATTAGGTGTAGTAATTTCCTTTTTTTTTTTTTTTGCTAGTGTGTTGCTTGTGTTAATGTCAAATTGCATTTATGTCATGTCTCTTTTACTCTCTCCATCCATAACTTTCTTGGTCGGCCTCTTACCTTGTAGCCTCCTGTTCTGTTGTAGTACGCTTTAGCTGCTGGCTGATTTTGTTGCATTCTGACCAGATGACCAAACCATTTGATGTTCTATGAAATCATTCACCCTTCTGTGCCTATTATTGTTCTTAGTTCTTCATTGGTGACTCTTGTCTTTCTTTTTTTTTTCCACTGCATTTCTTAAACATCTTATCTCTCATGTTGTAATTTTGTATTTATATTTTCTTGCACTGTCCAAATCTGGCATTGATACCACAAAGTTGGTAGAAATAGCACATTTGTCAGCTGCCGTTTTAATTGGTACTGGCCGTTGAACACTGTCGAACAGGTTAACATTGATTTTCATTGCACTAAAGACAGTTATTTTCTGTCAAAGATATTTACTATAATCTTTCTGATCATTACCAGTTTTCATTTTGGGTATACAGTTAAATGTCAACTTTATAGTTTTTCTATAGTTTTTCTAATAATAATTATTGTTCTATATCAGGAGCGGGAAAGAATATTGAAAGAAATCCAGGAAGATAGAGAAAAGGTTCGGTTAACTAAACATTTAAAAACAGAGCCAAGTCCACAATCCCAGCCGCAAGCCAGCACATCTCCAGATCAGCAACCAGATGTTGCAGGCTCGTCGTCACAGAGCCCAGAGGACATTAATGATAGTACTACTGCAATTCAGGTATGTTCACATATACCAGTTAGACTCACTCTCTCTCGCGCGCGCTCTCTCTCTCTCTTTTCTCAACCCCCCCCCCTCCCCCCCTGCCTCATCCTCATCCCTCTCTGCTTTTGATTATGTTTTTTAATCCTGTTTTCTCTCTCTTTCTGTGTTAACCCTTTAGCTGCTACACACTCCGCCAGGCAATGTTACCACTGGGCTAAGCTAGTTCTCTGCTGATCCTTCCCGGTTTGCTGAATACTTTTCTGTTCTCCCAAACACAGATGCTTCAGCGGGGTGTGCTATATTTTGTACACCCAAACATATTCACCCTAGGGAAGTGGGTGGTTGACCCGAGTGTTGACAGGTCAGACGCACTTTGGTGACGCCAAGAAACCTTGCCGTTACCGAAAGTAAACACTAGAAACTAGGTTAAATTGAAAGAAAATGTATCCTCAACTAAGCCTAATTTATCTTTGTCTTTGCCGCTTCCACATATGTAGTAGAAACTCCACGGTGGCGGGAACACAACAGTAGCCTTCCAATCGTCAGTAGGAACATTCTTTAAATGTTCCAACCGCTTTACATTCCTTGCAGGGAGATATTGCAAGACAGTTTTTATATGTCCTTTTTTTTTTTACTTCATTGTCCTCTCAACCGTTGCCATATGTTCAGTCATTGCCCCAAGTGCACCTGAGGCTCTTACTTTCCCCTGGCTCTTTCCACCGTCCTACAAACTTAAACAACGAATCTACTGCTCCAGTACAATTCATACTGTTGGGATTCCTTACCCATCTCTCTCCCCCACCCCCACCCCCCCCCCTCCCTTTCCCATTCTGATCCATTACGGTTAAATCATAATTAATTGTATTCCCTGTGTTATTACTTTTTCCCCCAAATAATAAATACTTTAATGATCGTTGCCGAAAGTGCTAAATTTAAAATTTTCACTAAAAAACATGCCTGAAGATGTTGAATGCAAGACCTGTCGATTGTAAGGCACTTGTGATACCAGCTACACTAGAAATTTACATGAAAATGAGAACTAAAAATAGGACACATTCATGTCTGCATAGTATAGAAGAAACATTAATTGTAATCATCATGTCAGTATGTGACCATATCCTCTTCCTGATCATTGGGGATCCATTTCAAATCCAGTCGATATTGATGGCTGGGTCAGATGATCAGTACTGCTCACGGCCAGAAGTACACATTCCGCCAGCTTGGCATGAAGATAACCCAACTCATAACACGCACATTTTAAAGGGATTCTTACTATTACTCCTTGAAAGAAACTCCATTAATTCTTCAACAGCTTTAATTAACAAGTTTTCTTGCTATTTTGTATTGAAAAAAAAAGAATGCTAACTCAAAACCAGAAATGTATTTCAGGGCAAAAAATAAACAGTTCACAGACCAGGCTTCTGTGGTAAACAAAGCAACAGGATATCATGGAATGCATCTTAATACACAAACGCACATAATAAGGGTTTTACTTGTATGTAAATGGGTGAATTTGATCAGATTTAGATCATGTGTATTGCCATTTCACCACCAAGAGATACTGTCCTTAGCAGTTTGTAAGAAAAGTCGAAATTATGTTTTTACGTCTTAAGCAGTGAGGGCAGAGATAAAATTATGTCTTAAGCAGCATTGAACAAAATTATAACAGAAGACATGGTACCAGGAAGGAGGGGCAGGGGCCAACAGACATGAAGATGGGCACAGGAAATAAGTGACTCCTTGAGTATGAAAGTACATATGGCGGAAGAGCTGGCGAGAGACCGTTTCTTTCAGGCAGGCCATGATGAGAGCGACGTTCTGCAAAGGACCTGCTACATGATGATGATGATGATGTGTATTTATTGCAGTCACTTGGTATTTAGTTCTCTCTTTCTCTGTCTGTTCTCACAAACTGTCTCTGTTTATTTATTTTCCTCTCTAACTCTTGTTGCTGCCTCTTTATTTTTCTTGTACAAATTATGTCAGTTTTGCAGGTGTATATGTATAGGTTTATTTGTGCCTGTGAGTTCTATTTCCTTTCTGACTTTGCTTTAAAATGTGCAAAGACTATCATCATACAAATGATGGTGCCTTTCAGGTTAATATACATTTTTTTCAGTTCGAATCGTTTGAAACAGTAGCATAGAAGTCTACCACAATTTCCCCAAGGGGGCATTTAATTAAAAAAAAATTGTTTTAATCATTGATTATATTTTGGTCCTTAAGGGAAGGGAAAGACAATGGGTGTGACTTATTAAAGTTATTGAAATAAAGCAGCAGCATTGGATTTTGCAAAGTAAAAAGAACCATTTCTGAGCCAATGACATGTTGGGCATATAATGCTATTTTTGTATTTTTATGAACCAGTTGGATCTTGGTGAGTAGCCACGCTGACAACCTGTCCTTACCAAGACATTACCTAGTATATGTTTTATGATCAATCGACCTGAAAGCCAAGGTCAGTTTAAAAAAATTGTAACTTGTGAATTCAAACCCAAGATTTTTGAGCCATCGGCTGATTATCTAGCCACTATAGATCAGCTTCTAGCCACAATAGTTGAGCTTATAGCCACAATGTAACAATGTTGTTATAAATGAATAGTCAGTGTAACAGTGTTGGTATAACAGCATTTATGAGGATTTCTTCTTTTTTTTCTCGTTCACTAGCTGTAAACTCCGGTGGAAAGTTGTGGTTGTTCATCCACCTCTGGACTTTAGACTTTTCCCAGAACCTGAGTGTTGCGTGCATGTCTGTTTTACAAATCTGACTTATTTGTATGCAGACTGCTGATTCATTGCTTCTCAGGCAGGTGCACTACTGACTTTGAAGGAAACCCCCAATTAGTCAATTCCTACAACATGCTTGTTGGGGAGGCAGTGGGTCTGTTCTTGTTTTTCCCCCAATGGGGCCCCGTAACCCACATGGGGTTATAGGGATTTGTAACAGAAGGTGATGCTGGATTTGCTTCATCTCAGGTTGAGAGGATTGAGAAGCTGATTTACTATGCAGTTTTCTCAGTATGCTACCCCTTTTCATTCTTCAGGTGCGTCTTCCCTCTGGCCGAATCTATCGTCACAACTTTCCAGTAACAGCCACATTAAACAATGTATGGGATGCAGTGTATGATCAACTTCAGACAGCCATGCTTGCTCATTCTGGCTTCATTCAGGTCTGGTAGAAGTGTCTTGATTTTTGTTGTAACTCTTAGAATATTGAAAATAGTAGTATTGCAATGACTAGTTGTGGGATTTGGTTCCTCAAGGCAGAGGGCATTCAGACTGAAAAAAGACACAAGGCTTTAAAAACACCCTCGGTATGAGTATTCTTGAGGTAAGGGAAGCAAATGAAGGATCAAGCTTGTTTTCAACAGGATGTGATATGAGGGAAAGTCTGCAAGTAGCTTGCTATGTGATTTATTATTTTTATTGGGTTGACTCAGACTGTCTTGTCAAGGAACCAAACTGACTACTATTCTACTGTGCATATTGTCTCGGATTTATCAGAAAAAGTAAACATCATTGGGATAATACTGTTTCTTTTCCTGATATGTAGAGGAATATATATTTTTCGTTCTTACTTCTGATATTCATTTAGCATCACATCAAATTTTCTGTACCACAGTCTTGATATATTATTTACAATTTTAAAAGAAGACCTAAACAAGCTCTGAAATTGAAAGGGATTTTTCAAAATGATAGCAAGGTTTGATAACACCCCCCCCCCCCTCTCCCCCCATCTTTGCTGTCTGTATTTGCCACTTTTTAGGGTGGTATAGGAGACGGAGGGAGACCCAGGTTCAAATCCTCTGTAAGATCATGGCTTTTCCTTCTGTTGGGGGCAAAAGTACAATCCTTACCTGCACAGTCCATGGCAGCACACCCTTAGCCATGCCCTAAATCCTCAGTCTCAGAGACCCCACCTACAAAGCAGAATTACTGCAGGCAGTAATGATGGTTGGAAGTAGAAGAAGAGATAAGTCTGGAGCCTGTGGGTTTGGGGCTACATTGCTATTGCACTTGCCAGACTGCAGGTTATATTTGGTTTTGACAAACAGAACAAAAAACAAAATAAATCCAAAATGCCTATCACTTTATGAGGCAAAATTTGAACTTGGAACTCCGACATGAAAACCCAGCTTTTTATACTGCTTAGGTTGCCACTGCTGAAGGTTTTACAAGTAAAATTAAATAGTCTGGACATATAAAAACACACCGTTTTCTGTTGAAAACCATGTTATAAAGTGAAACAATGTGGCTGTACAGAAGAATGCTGAAAATTCCTTTGACAGGAAAACTGAGAAACATCCCCAAGCAAAACAAAACAGTTAAAAATCTCTTACATGAATGACGAAGAATCAAAAAGGACCAGATGTGAACTGTAGACAGTACTTTTAATTAACAGTATCATTTTACTCATCTGGGGTATTGAAACAAGTTATATTTTTCATATATATTAAATGGGTAAACTAGTAATACTCGCCTAAAATACTAAAATTAGTAATATTTCACATATCTAAAACTCTGAAGGTAACCATATATATCTCAACAAAAAACTTTCCTGTGTATATTACAGGACCCCTTTGGATGAGGGGGTAAGGGGAGAGAAGAAAAGATTCACTGTCTTTAAGAGCGAACACAGAAGAAAAAAGTATTTCGTTGGACTCTAAATACTAAAATTAGTTTATATGAGTTATAAATAATTTGCAAGTTAACTTATTTCTTTGGTTTTTCTCAGCCATTTCCTAGGCGGGAATTAACAAAAGAAGAAATGCAGAAGACTTTGCATGAGCTTGGTCTTGTGCCTTCTGGTTCCTTGGTGCTAAAGAAGAAAGTAGCTGATCAGGCTGCTGTGTCAGGTAAAACTTATGCTGAAAACGTCATTGAGATTTGACTTGATTTTCTTTTATATGGGTCTTCATGGCTGAGTGATTAAACCTTTAACCTCACAGTCTAACTGGGTTCGTCAGACAAAAATGGATTGTGAGCACCAAGCCCTTCATAAATGCCTAGCCTGCTCATCTTTTTTTGCTAAAATATGTGGGTATTTGAGACCATGAATGTGCAGATTATCTTGCAGACACTGCGATTGCTATGGCATATCCGGTACTTGTCATGAGCGACATTACCAATGCCATATGCAGCACTTACCACAAAGAGGAACACACCAAAGGGCATGACTCTGTATCCCTCTCTTGGCGGAAGGATATGGATATGCAGACTGCAGCTTCAAGAAATGAACACTTAGGAGACAGGACGTTTGATTAATCAACACAGAACATGCCTCATCAGTCATTTGTGCTTGCGGGGCAGATCGGAGCACTTGTGGATCTGTCCGGAGTGCTGGGATGATAATCCTCACTTATCGCTAATCTAAAGATCGTGGGTTTGATATGTGGATCACAGGCAAATATTTCCTTAGATAACTAAAGAAAAAAAAAGAAAAAACACAACTTGCTGTCACTAGTCAAACCTTTGACCGCCAGCTTTTCTTCAACATGACATTAAACCACAGAAATGTAGTATCGTCTTCTTCTGTGTTCACAGTGAAATTGTACCCTTTGACCCACTGTCATGTTCATTTTTAAAACCTTTCATCTAAATCATAAGCCATCATCGCAGCATTTTCCCAGGTGCCTTTTGGGGGTGGGGGGTCGGTAACTCCCAAACCCTCTAGAAAGGAGTTGATATGATTATTCTTCTTCGCGGTCACCAGCTGTAAACTCTGGTGGAAAATTTCTGGTTGTTTATCCACTTCTGGACTGCAGTCCTGTTCCAAAACCTGAGTGTTATGTGTGCATCCATTTTACAGATCTGACTTATTTGTATGCAGACTGCTGGTTCCTTGCCTCTCAGGCAGATGCACTCCGACTTCGAAGGAAGCTCCCAATTAGTTGACTCTTACGACATACTTTTGGGTAGGCAGTGGGTCTATTCTTGTTTTCCCTATAATAGGGCCCCGGAACCCACACAGGGAGAGTTGATATTTATCTAGGTGTTCCTGTAATTTCCCTGTCACTATCTTTTCTAGAATTTTCAACAAACCTTCAGTTAGCCAGTTGCCTTTTACAGCACGCTTGTTAAGAAGCAATGGGTCTGTTCTCCTCCCTCCCTTCCCCCCCCCCCCCCCAGGTTTGCAGAGGGAAATAGATTATGATACATTTTTATCAATCAATCAGGTGCCGTCTCCACAATGAAGGTTGGCTGCAATGGATCTCCAACAAGCCCTGTCTCTTGCCCTTAGTGTACACTCACTCATACTGCTGTTCGTCCATCTCTTGATGTTATCCTCCCACTTGTAACACTGTCTGCCTTTTGCTCAACTACCTTGAACCTTTCCCTCTAGGATGATCTTTACAATATTGTTATGTCTTTTAATGTGGCCAAAAAATATTTCACTTGTCTCTTTTTTATTTCCCCTAGCAACTCTCTTTTCATTCCCAATTTCCTCAGTACCTCTGTATTTTATAGCTTTTGTTTCCATTAAATACGACCTAATCTTCTGTATATCCACATCTCCAAAGAATTGATACGATTTTACATTTTCACAGTATATACAATTGTAAATTTAAAAAATGAAATGAGACTTGGGTAATATAAACATTTAACTTGTCTGTGACAAAGAAAGAGAGACATAATTTAGTCCCATGTCAGATACTATGGTGTACTATGCACTGGAACCCCTGGTTCCAAAGGACAGAAAGCCGATTTAACACACACACACACACAAACACACACACACAGAGGAGGAAACAGTTAGTGACATTTAAAAGATGGGGGACGTTGGATGAGCTGCATGCGAATGATGTGGTGTAGAGTTGGTTAAGGGCCTAGACTCTATTGGAGGATTAAGGCCAAAGAAGACCATGCCAAGCCTGAATTCACAAGAGAGGCAAAGTATAACAACATTATAGACTAAGATACATGTCTGTGTCTGTCCTTTAGGCTCAGGTGCATCTGCTAAGAGGTGAGGAACCAACAGTCTGCTTATAAATAAGCCAGATCTGTAAAACAGAAATGCATGCAAAACTCAGGTTATAGAAAATGGCCAGTCTACAAGTGGACAAATGACCAGAACTTTCTACCTGAGTTTACTGTTGGCGAACTCAAAAAATAAAGAAGAATAAAAGGGGTCTAAAAAGAGTGCTAGCATGAAATGGGCTGCCCCTTTGTTTTTTTTACTCACAGAACCAACACAGCCCGCAGCTGTGATGAATGCTCTTGATGATGCTGAGAGAGACAGGCAAGAGGAAGATAATGAGGAGGGTTGGGATGAGGAGGCTTCCGATCAAGTTGAGCATCAGTGGGGAAGAGGGTTCAGAGTTGAAGGCCAAGATGGTCATGAGGAACAGCAAATGGGGATGGATGTTGGTAGGTCATTATAAATATTTTTTTAAACAAAAACAAAATAATTGTTTCTCCTTGTAACCGGAACTTCCAGCTTAGCTCTTTAAAAATGGGGCCCAGGAAGTGTCGTGGGAAGTAAAGGTAACCAACGTGGTATTGACCATATCACTGATCTTCTGCTGATTGTTCTGTGAAAATTTGGAGCTACTACTAAATACTCTGAAGCTGTGGTGGTATTTTACTAGCATACATACTTGTTGGCCTGGTTTTCCTGAGTTTGGATCCTCATTGAGACAGATTGTTGAAACTGAATACAGTTTCTTGGTTGACCTAGATTAAAATAGGTACTTGGAAATGTTCTGGAAAGTAAAAGTAACCGAAATGATATTGCCTGCATGTGCATCAAGTGCTGGTTGATCTGTATAAAGTAGCATTATGTACCCAGTGCCCCTGCAAGTTTTTGAAACGAGTCTTTGACAACCTGTCTAAAAGAATATTATACCGTGAATGAATTATTGGTGCGTTTATAAGATCCAGTGTGGTTTGGTTGGTGTGTTGGTTAATCCTATGAAAAATTAAATTTTAACTACTATATCCATTGCATTGGACTAAGATGGCAAAGCAAGTAATGCTCAGTAAGGGTATGTGTAAATTGTTATAGGGAAGTGTTAAATACATGTTCATTCTAAAATATATATTTGTGTGTGTGTGTGTGCGTGCGTACGAGAGAGAGAGAGAGAGAGCGGGAATAAAAAGGTGAGACAGTGTTCTCAGGAAGAAACGGGACCTTAAGTATGAATCTGAGTCCGGTCCAGCTATTTGGTGGATGATTTAACTGTTTGTACAATGATTCCTAACGCGAATTTAGAAATTGCTTGTGCGAGCAAACCAAGTTCACCAAATAACACAGAGCAAAGAAAATGATAGATGGAACAATAGCATCAAGAAAGGAAGAATAACTTATACAATGTATTAGAACAAAATCAGATTCAGTGCAAAATCAAACGCAAGACGTTTGCACTGGCCAGTAGGCATCTAGTCACTACCCTTTTAAAAAAAAAATCTTATCTAGACATCTGACAATTCCTTCCAGCTGTGGTTACTGTATGTCTTGAGCACTTGGTGGTGTAAGACTGAGTGGGGAGGGGGGGTGGGGGGTGTTTGGAATTGAAGTTGGGAATTCTTATTCTGCCACAGCTTCAGGCTGACTTTGCCTTATCAGAATGGCTACCAGTCAGTTTTCTGAAAAATAAAGGTAATGAGGAAAAGAACTGGTAAAATATCGCTATTTTGGATCTATTGTGGGGTAGCCACTATCACCGACCCACTTGGATATACACTTATGTAGTGAGTGCATGGGTTTGAACCCTGACACTGCACACCCACATGAGAACTGGACTGAGCTATATTGATCCCAGAGTCCTGGATAACCAAGAAAGCAGTAAAAAGGGGCTCAGAGAATAAATTTAAAGTAACTGTCCTGATATCCACAGGAGTAGGAAAAGAGTAGTTATATATCAAGATTAGATTAATATTAGAGAACATAAAGATATACAGTTAACCCCTCTGACTGCTTCCTTTCGTGGTATTAATTTATAACGAATGCCCCCACCAAGTGTGATAGTGATGTGTTCAACCCTTAAAAACTAAATGTTAGAATTAAACAGCTTATGAGCATAGCGAATTGGACATATAAAAAATAGTTGACAAAATATGAGTTAATAACTTTAACAAGATTTTTTTTAATCGACCCCCCCCCCCCCCACACACACACACACACACACACCTTTGCATTACGAAATGAGTTCACAATGCCTTTGTCACAGATCGAGTGCGGAATAACCAGGATAGTCCGGTGGAAAAAAATTTAGTCCTCCTGACATTAATTTTTAACTCTTTTACTCTCACCTTTAACTTTTGACTTTATTGCTGTCGATTTTGACTTTATTGCTCTCAACTTTAACTTTTGACTTTATTGCTCTTGACTTTAACTTTTGACTTTATTGCTTCGACTTTAATTTGTAACTTTATTGCTGTCGACTTTACCTTTTTCTTTATTGCTCTCGGCTTTAACTTTTCACTTTATTTCCATCCACTTTAACTTTTAACTTTAATGCCATCGACTTTAACTTTAAAGTTTATTGGAAGCTATTTTAGTTTTTCAGTGCACATTTCAGTTGCATATTCTTTCTGTATGACAGATGAACCTGGTGATGAGAACGGAATAGGTGGCCTCTTTGAGCAGATTGCAGGACTTGGTCAGCATCCTTTTCTGGCACCACAGCAAGTGTTCCGCGGGTTTGGGCAGAGGCTGGTGCCTGCTGGGGTTCCAGGGGACAACGATACACATTTAAGAAGAGGGGCTGCTGCTATGGCAGGTTAGTGTTACTACTGCTTCTGCTTATGTTTTCTGTCATCTTGTTGAAAGTTCATTTTGTTTGAATTTTTTTTTTTTTTTAAATATGTTGACATTTTTTAAAACCAGGGAATGGGATAGAATCTTTCTCTCTTCATTGTTTTACATTTTCTTATAAGAAGATAGTATAGTTTTGTCAAGTTTCTCAGTCCAAAAACTGGTTTGTAGTTATTACATGTCATTCCACCATAAATTGTGCTTTATTACTCCAAGGGATCTTGTTTTAACATTTGTATTATGGTTTCTCCATGCTTTCTAAGCAAAGAATAATTGACAGTATCCTACTGTGTGTGTTGTTAGAGATAACTAAGGATGGTAGGTGTGAGACTGGTGACCTTTTCTACAATAAATTAGCTGCAGAATCGAACGAATCATGAAAAACAAACCAGTATGGTATATTGAGCAGTTTTTCCTCTTGGAAGAAGAATGATATGTTGCGGAGAAGGTTGCAGAAAATTTGAGTTGACAACTGACTGTTTTCACAAAGAAAAATATAGTTTGCTTTTTGAAATATTAGAACTATATATGAGTGGTTAAGAACAGCACAAGTAGTAAGGGAGATGAAATATAAGATTAGCATTTTGGAAGTATGCAAAACAAGATGGAAGGTATGACAGGAAAGCTTGAAACAGAAATGATAAAAAGACGTAGTAGAGATGATACTCATTTGCACACACAAAAAACCATAAAACTGGACAGTCCTTCTTCTGGAACCCACAGGACAAAAGTAATCAAAGCAGACCTAAGATTACATGAGAAAAACTCATTAGAGACAGATTAATGAAATGATGACATAGAAGAAGCTGCATGGGACATCACAGAATATGAAGACCTGCTATTAGCTGGTTAATAGCCTCTGCTGTATTGACTGAATGAAGAAAGGAGTAGTAGAAGACTGTCAGTCCTTTATTCATAATCATACCTATTCCTGCTTGGTCTCGAGGCATAGTGTCTGCTTTGAGTGCTGTAGGTCCCGGGTTCAGGCCCTGTTGAAGGCTGGGATTTTTCCATGTGGACTTCTAGTAATTTTCCCTGGTTTCTGGGTAGTAAAATCAGATGCCCATGTGTATTGTTGCGCATGTAAAAATTCCCTTGGGTGTTGAAAATTGAAAAGAATAGCCTAATGGCGCTGTCTGGGCACAATTTGGAGTTAAAAATCTACCCAAAGTAGTTCAGGATCCTTGCCGGTGCTATGGAGTTAGTGCATTGTACTGAGCCCCTTCTAACTCAGACTTGAGCTAGAAGTAGAACGGAGCACTTATGGGTTACTACCCTTGTGCTATGATGTTGATCTGTTTAAACCAAATCTTGAAGTCTCAAAATGACTACTGAAATATCTGATCAAATTGACAGATGTGTTTCCAAATTTACTGGTGTAGAAAAAACACATACAAGGTCCGACAATTAAGTAATGAGACTAATTCCATAAAAATTAAAATAATCCACAGTTGAAGATATAACCTGTATTTTATTCAAAGTAAGCCTCTTATGCATTGGTACAGCAAGTAGCACGATCTAACAAACACTGGAACTACCACTGTAGTTCTTCTGTTGTCAAGACCCTTAAAGTTGATGTTACAGCCCTTTGGATGTCAACAAAATCGTTAAAAAAAAGATTTTTTTCAATCAAAACTTTAATTTTTGGAATAGAAAATAATCACAGGGAGACAAATCTGAGAAATAGGGTGAAAGGCTGAGAACACACCCTTGTTTTTGGGTCAGAAATTCTTGTTTTGATGATGTCTCTTGGGTACTTAACCCACTGATGTTTTTGGTCATCAAACAACAAATGTGGTACAAACCGGCAAGCAACTTTTTTCTTGCCTTAATCTTGCACTAAAATGTTATGAATGGTCTCTCTATTAACACAGATTCATCTGCCATCGTCTTAACAGTAAAACAAAGATTTTTTTTTTTTATCCATTCTCTGACTTGCAATGAGTTCATCATTACGAACAGAAATTTAGCGTCCAGGTCTAGGTGCATTATTAATCGTTTCTACATCAGTTTTGAATCGTGAATACCACCTGAAAATTTTGCACGAGATAAACAATTATCCCCATAAACTTGTTGAATTAATTCAACTGTTTCAATGGCACTTTTTCTGAGTTTTAAAAAGAAGTTAATGTTAGATTTTTGCTCTGTGCTGGATATGTTACAATGCATCTCTGACTAGGTCAACAAAATGGCGGCTTGTTTGTTGTCTGCTTATCGAGCGGTGATGAAAAATTTCCAGATCATAGATGAATGTTGCCTCTTTAGATTCCATACTTTGCTTTATATATGACATTTTTTGTCTTGGCCATAATAAAATCAGTCTCATTACTTAATTGTCGGACCTTGTATTTATACATATAGTCAACAGACACTCCTCACTGCATATCAGCTCATAAGTAAGGTTAAATATTAGGGGATTGACTTGCACTGGGTTTTATCCTATAGAACTGAACCTTTCTCTGCAAAATGGCTAGCCACCTGTCAGAAGCGTCACGCAAAGCTCAAACTCCATAGCTCAGGGGCAATCCCTGGAGAGCACTGTAAAAACTGTACTCGTGAACCAAACGACGGTCGTGAAATTAATCTCTGAACTTTAGACCCTGAGCTGAATGGCTTAACCACTTCGCTTGGAGACCAGTATTCAAGTTATAAGTGCTTGGGTTTTCTACCATGTAAATCTCTCAGCGAGGGGCTGTGTGGTCTCGAGGCCTAGTGTCCGCATCAAGTGCTAAATGCTCTGGGTTCACTCCCTGGTAAGGGCTAGGATTTTTTAACGTCGACTTGGATGTCTAATAATTCCCCCTGGTCTCTGGGTACTGAGATCGGACACCCGTGTGCATTGTTGCATTCGTAAAAATTCCCTTGGCAGTTGGAAATTGAATAGAGTAGCCAAAATATTTCATGATCCTCGCCAGTGCTACAGAGCCTGTGCACTGTGCTAAGCTTCTTCGGACTCAGACTTGAGTTAGAAGAAGAATGGAGCACTTATGGGTTACTACCCATATGCCATGATGTTGATCTATTGTTTAAAACCTCAATTTCTCAGCGTCAGTTGACTTGCGGTACCACTGTATATATTTGTTTGTTATTTCCTCAGCTGAAGCGGCTGCACAAAGATTTGCCAATCCTCAGCCTCCAGCAAATCCAGATCCTAAGCCCTCCCAAAGTGAAATCATTTACACAGTCCGCAGTCTTCAAGATCTGGCTATGTTTGCCCTGGCTCGAAGGCTGACAGATCCAAGAAACCCTATTTACTCAATGGCAGGTTTGCCAGAGGAGCTGTTACAGAAATTTCTTGCCTATCTCATGAAAGAAAGGCTTCTGAAACCTAAAATCTTGCACCTGATTCCAAGGTATCTACATTACTAATCTTTTCTGTAGTTTGTTTCCTTTGTAGGCTTGATGAGAGGAAACACGCCTCAATAGCTTTATTACAGACTTACGAAAAGTATCACCAGAATTAAACAAAAGCAACTGTCAGAAAGCAGGCGTACACCTGAGGTTGTCAGAGGAATTTGCTTTAACATTCAGGCATACATCCTGATTGAGGAGATATTGAAACTTCCTAACTGTTGTTTTGTTTAATTTTGCCACATCTGCTAATCATTATCTTCATCAAGTTCCTTACTGACCAGCATTAGGACTGGTGGCATCAGCAGCTACACAGCCACAACACCTGTAGGATTTACTGAGGAGGGGGTCCCAGCACTTATGGACTGAATGGTTCGATATGCATTAAGGATAATCTATTAACTAACTATTTGCCTGGCCTATGTAGTAATCTTTTTCTGTGTTCACAAAAAGGGTAGTTGGCACCTTGGTTGTAGTTTACAGTTCGGCTGCAATAAATGTAAATGCCTTTCGGCCTAACACCTCTGACTTTAATGAACCACTAGCTAGTTGACTTTTATGGATCTGGTTTTTTTTTCTTCTTTAAAAAAATGGGGCTCCATAACCCAAATGGGGTCTTGGCCTTTGAAAACAACAGATTAATTCCATCATAACATCCACCTCTCCTCAAAAAGTAGGTGTGATATTTTTTTAAAATTCATTTGAATACTTAGAAATCACAGCCCTATCGAGCCCTATATATCATTGTCATTGAGAGTTAGAAAGAGAATTCTTGCTTGCTACATACATCCAATTTTAACATATGGCTGTGAATCCTGGAGGTGTGTCGGCACACGACGGATACGCAGGAGATCGCAGATTGTAGAGAGGCATGATTGCCCACACCAGTCGGCAAGGCACCTGATGATGATGATGATCGAGTATTTTTTGGTTTAAACAAATGAGAAAGTTTGCAATATCTGATATGTCATATAGGCCTGAAGTCCCATTATCTCTGCTATATTTCATTGTTACGTTGGTTGCTAACATGTATTTTAGGTTGTCATCTAGGTACTTTGATTGCTGACATATGTATTTTAGGCTGTCATCTGGGTACTATGGTTGCTGACATATGTATTTTAGGCTGTCATCTGGGTACTATGATTGCTGACATATGTATTTTAGGTTGTCATCTGGGTACTTTGATTGCTGACATATGTATTTTAGGCTGTCATCTGGGTACTATGGTTGCTGACATATGTATTTTAGGCTGTCATCTGGGTACTATGATTGCTGACATGTATTTTAGGCTGTCATCTGGGTACTATGATTGCTGACATATGTATTTTAGGCTGTCATCTGGGTACTTCGGTTGCTGACATATCTATTTTAGGCTGTCATCAGAGTACATAAGATGCATTAGATTTGTTTTGTTTTTTAACCAAAATGTTTTATTTTTATATTTAGTTATCTAAACAGATTGACTCTTGACTACTACCTGTACACAACAAATGAATTGCTTCATTCAGCAAGGTAGATGTATTGTGTTTATTGACTTGTTTCTTGTGAACTTGTTTTATTGACACTTGCAGTATAGTAGACTGACCACAGTGCCAAGAGAATGGCACTCTGGCTTAGAGATTAGCTATTGCAGTTAATAGTTTCATGATACTCAAGTACTAGTTTGTGGTGGTGGACGGTTTAAACGAACAACAAAAACTCCTGGTTTTCAGACAATCGTGCAAGAATCGCACCTTAAAAGAAAAAGAAGCTTCACCACGTTAATAAAAAAAAAATAACAGTAGTACACATCCTTGTGTAGGTTCTTGGACCCCTTTGTAGGGAAAACAAGAGTGGACCCATTGCCTCCCCAACAAGCATGTCGTAAGAGTGCATCTGCCTGAGAGGCAAGGAAACAACAGTCTGCATACAGAAAAGTCAGATCTGTAAACAGATATGCATGCAACACTCAGGTTCTGAAACAAGACTAAAGTCCAGAAGTGGGCGAACAGCCAGAACTTTCCGCTGGAGTTTACAGCTGGTCAAAATGTAGAAGAATAGTAGTACTCTGTAGTGCACCTTCATTCAAGGGACAGCACATAATTTATAATTTATGACTGACTTATTCATTAATTTTGTTTCTGCTTTTTATCTTTCATTGTCCCTAAAAAGCTGGCTTCTAGAAGTTTATATTTTTAAACATGAACAAGTAATTTCCTTCTGGACTATAATTAAAACAGTTTCTTATTTTTTGAGGTCGAGAGGATCAACTTATTGTATTGGGTTATCGCATATGGGTGGGTCGGTTCACAGAATGGCTAGCTGCCTGCCAAGAGCATTGCACAAAGCACAAACTCCTGCTCCAATGACGATCCTTAGGGATCTGCATAGAAACTGCATTCATGAAGTGAACAATGCGTCCTTGAAACGAACCCACAACCTGGGGCAAACGGCTTGACCCATGGACCGCCCAAATCCCCTAGTGCTCCTAACTCTTGTCACCAATGGATTTTTGTGGGTGTTCATCCACCTCAGGACCTTAGTCTTGTTCCAGAACCTGAATGTTGCGTGCACATCCATTTTACATATCTAGATTATTTGTTATGCACTCTTGGTTCCTTGCCTCTCAAATAATACATATTCAGACTGTTCCACCAGGAAGAGAAATAGAAAGTTAGAGATCAGTTGCAGCTTACCTGTATTGTAGAAATTACACCTGATTGATTGTTTGAAGTGTCCTTAATGCTTTTTTCAGTATTTCTGTTCTAGTGCTGTTAAAACGCTTCAGTCCCAGTTAATTACTTGTTAAACTCCTGCTCACTGAAAATTAATTATCATTATCTCTCCTTGTGCCTTCCGGGGCCCATTGTGAAGAAAACCAGAATAGACCCACTGCCTACCCAAAAGCATGTCGTAAGAGTCGACTATTTGGGAGCTTCCTTTGAAGTTGGAGTGCATATGCCTGAGAGGCAAGGAACCCACAGTCTGCATACAAATAAGTCATCTGTAAAATGGATGTGCACGCTGCACTCAGGTTTTTGAACATGTATAAAGTCCAGAGGCGGATGAACAACCAGAACTTTCCACCAGAGCTTACAGCCAGTCAGTGCAAAGAAGAAGAAGAAGATGATAATGATAATCTTGTAGCAGGTCTTATACTTAACATCGCTGTCAATCAGCCCACCTGAAAGAAACCTGGTCTCTCTCCCTATTCTTTTCTTTAATGACTGTCATTGTTTTAACAGTTGCCTGAGATAGAAAGTAACAGTTAATATTCACTTTTGTTTGTATGTGTGTGTAATCTTGATAATCTTAGTTTCAGCTTCGTAGCAAACGGGTCACCCCATAGTTGCTCCGCTCCTGTGCTAACGAAAAACACATAGAATGTTCCTTACAGTCCCTAGTGGAAAGACTGACAGACTGCTGTCTCAGCACTAGCATACACACGCATTAAAAACATACAGTAGCCATCAGAAGTGCTAACACGAACAGTTTGACATTAGAAATGCAGTTCATCATAGACGGTAGCAGGAGTTACCAACAGATCAGCAGTTGCATACACGATCAATATTTAATTTAATCACATAATGGCACCACCAATATTGCGACAGCAGGTATCGCCCCCCATTATCTGAATCTACACTTCACACCTGGAGGGAATACTTCAATGAGCTCTTTAATCCTCTAGGAGATCATCAGGAAAGAACAACTGAAGAGCACAGAGCAACAGTGTTAGAACCACACATACTAATGGATGAAATAGAAAAAGTCATTAAATTGTCTCACAAATATAAATCACCAGGAGCTGATAGATTACCAACAGAAATAATTCAAGCAGCAGGTGAAAGCAGCATCAGATGGCTCCACAGAATATTCAATGCAGCATGGGTACAACACACGACCCCTATTGATTGGCATCATGCAATAGTTATACCATTTTGGATGAACAAAGGAAGCAAACGAGAATGCGGTCAATATCGAGGCATCTCTCTTTTAAGCCATGTTGGCAAAATGTATGCCAAGATAATAGAAACAAGACTGAGACCAGTGATAGAACCACAGCTGGCAGAAGAACAGATGGGACTTAGGAGAAATAGAAGCTGCACAGATGCAATCTTCAGACTTAAACAGTTAATAGAAAAGAACATTGAATACAATAAGAACTTATTTGTGGCATTCGTAGACCAGGAGAAGGCATTTGACAGAGTCGACAGACAATAATTATGGAAAATAATGGCAAGATATGGAGTAAGCGAACACCTCATCGAAGTGTGCAAAAGTTTATAGAGGGATTGTAGAAGTGTAGTTAGAATAAATCAGGGAACATCTCATCCTTTCACAGTGACATCTGGAGTAAGACAGGGGTGTGTCTTATCACCACTGCTGTTTATCACCTACATCGACAGTATATGCAAGAATGCCAAGCCCATGAATGAAGATCTTAGTAAGATCAACGAATTACTCTTTGCAGATGACCAGGCCTTGATAGCAGATACAGCCATGAAATTGCAACAACATCTAACATCCATGAATGAAGAATGTAAAACAAATAATATGAGAATCAACACTGAAAAGACAGAAGTAATGTCAATAGGAAAAAAGAAGACAGATCTAAACATAGCAATAGAATACAAAGGCATTAAACAGGCATCCGAGTTTAAATATCTGGGAACTACATTTACCGAAGATGGGAAATAGGATAAAGAAACTGACATTAGATGCAGAAAAGCAAACCAAGTATTGGGACAGCTAGCCCCTCTCTTACAGCATAAGACAATCCCAATCAGCACAAAGAGACATCTTATTCAAAGCATATTTATTCCAACTCTGTGCTACCAGTGCCAGACATGGTCACTCACAACAAACCATAAAGAAAATTAGTAACCACGGAAATGAGATGTCTGAGAAGGGCTGTAGGAGTGACCATAAGAGATAAGATCAGGAATGAGATCATAAGAGAACAAGTCGGCACAGAAACAATTCTGGATTACATACAAAGACAGCAAGTGAAATGGTTTGCCCACTTAGAGAGAATGCCTTGTGACACCATACCATACAAAGCATACATGAAAAGAGAAGGGCGTAGAGCACGGGGTAGACCAAGAACAAGATGGAAGGATAACATCAGAGAAACTCTACAACAGCTTGATGTGCCTATGGTCGAGGCAGCCAGAAGAGCTAGAAACAGAACCTTATATCTCCCTCGACACCCACAGCGGTAAAAGAGGAAGTGAAGAAGAAGAAGAAAAAGACACTTCACACCACCATGTTGGTAACAGTTGAAACATTCCAAATGAAATCCGCAGCTCACAAGATCACGCCATGCACTCAGCTCAGTAGCTGGGCGATAAAACTATATCCTTTCAGTCTACAAATGAATTAAAAATGCAACGGCCACCATTTGGCAGAAGCAAAAAAATTTCCCCGATGTATAACAGTGACTTTGCCTAGTATCCATTTTAACCTTGTGTGTGTGTGTGTGTGTGTTAACAGTTTTATTTTTCCCCCCATGAACAGAATATTTGTCCACTTGCAGTCTTTAAGCCTTGTCTCGTGTTCATTGATAACAGATAGCGGCCTGAATGCTGTGAGAGGTAATATATGTCTGTATATGTTTGTTTTAATATGCCACTTTACTTAACATTGTTACATGTCTCTTTACAAAAAATGAAGTTGGATTGCGAAATGTCAATTTAAATTTCCTATTAATTAAACATAGTTAAAACAGTTTGATTTTGTAATTATTTTCCATTTATTTCTGATTCACATATGATATAGTTTAAAATGATTAATGCTGTTGAGTTTGAAAGTTTACTAAATATTTAGGAGTGAATTGTGCATTATTATTACTAAGGGAAATTTCTCAACTAATGATTTGTTTTTGAATTGTTGACACTTCTGCTTTATCTGTTTAAATTCAAGAATATCATTTTTTTCCTGTATTGTTTATTTATCATAAATTGAGGCATCTGACATGGAATACCCTTTATGTGAATAAATTATGATAACCTAGGGGTCATATTGGTGAAGTAGTCGAGCCATTTGCTTCACACTGTCAAGGTAGTAGGTTTGTTTCATGGCTATGGTGTTCGGTTCATGAGTGCAGTTTCTATTGAGGCCCCTGGGGATTTTCACCGGAGCTATAGTGTTCATACTTTGTGCAACACTTTTGGCAGGTGGCTAGCCATTCTACAGAGAGAGGTCGAGCCATGTGGGAGAAAACCTGGTGCATGAAGTCAATATTCTTGACTTTTTAAACATGTATGAAACTTGGATACTGAGTCACACTTTTGAAAGCCAATTTTTCATTGTGATCATTAAACACAGTTGAATCTCTATCATATATAATTTTCAACCAACTTTGTGAAGTCTTTCATGTAAAATGTTGCCCCCATGTAAGACGCAGTTTTTCGTTATTTTGAAGCCCCACCCCGGATTTTGCCAGGGGCCGCAATATAGCCTGAAGGCTAAAAGCGGTTTTTGGGACCTCTACACAGGTGATCCTCATCCGCATGCTGGCACTTTGTGTCACCAGGTTTTTATCGCCTGTGTGATGTCCTGGTGGGGTAAAATTTACTTACTCATCTACTTGTGAAGTCTATGGTTTTCTTTTGCCTCTGTTCACCTCCAAATCCTGCTATATTCATTCATTGTCCTCTTATGCCACTATTATGTTACACAGGGCTCACTGCTTTCTTCTCTATTCTGTTCTGTCCTGTTCAATCACTTAAACCGATTTCATTGATGTAATTGATGGCTCACTACACTCAGAGAAAAGGCAAGACGGACATTTAACCAGATTATGACCAGTAGCATCAGTATTGGAACTTTGCACTTGCTGCTGAATATGAGGACAGAGCACGCATAGGAATGCCTCGAGTGCTGTGATGTCAGTTCTTGACTCATCTGAACTCAACTCATCGATGGAATAAAGTCTGGCACGTTTGGCTTCTTTCCTCAATGTTCGCCTTTGTGTTTCTCTTGAACGTACTTGTTTCCTCAGTCCATTTATTTCTAATTGCAGAGCCTGTTTGGTGATTCTCTGTTCGCGTCTTTTTAGAACGTGTCTAGTACAGCACCATCTTCTGTCTTATAACAGTTATCTGCTACATCATCATCATCATGTAGCAGGTCCTTTGCAGAATGTCGTTCTCATCAGTCTGCCTGAAAGAAACTCGGTCTCTCGCCAGTTCTTCCGCCTCATGTACTTTCATACTCAAGGAGTCACTTATATCCTGTGCCCATCTTCATGTCAGTCGGCCCCTACACCTCCTCCCTGATACCATGCCTTTTGTTATAATTTTTTCCAATCCATCGTGGTGCTTGATATGACCAAAATATTGTAGCTTCCGAGACAGGATGCTGTTTATTAGCCAATCTTCCTTGATGTTCAGATCTTTCAAGATGTCAGTATTTCTCCTCTTCTTTGTCCAAGATATTCTGAGAATCTTTCTATAGCATTTCAGCTCAAACGCCCCTATTCTCTTTCTTAAGGACTAAAATCTGCTACATATAATTAGTAATTTAGAAAGATGAGATATTGTGTTGAATTCTCTTACAGGTATGAAATCTCTCAAATCCCTGAACTTGAGTGGCTGCAGTCAGATTACAAACTCCTGTTTTTCTTTGTTGTCAGGTCAGTGCATTTATTGTTTGCTGTTCTCTTCTTATTTGTCATAATATTTTATCTGATTCTATTTCAGCTGTGTATTTTACGTTTTCTGTTTAATTTCTGAAAATGTGTCAATTTACAGAGTTCCTTTACTTGATTTGAACACTTTTGCCAAGGTGAGAGGCATAAGCCACATTTGTATATGCTAAATACAGGTTTTCTCTCAAAGCCTAATCCCGCATCCATGGCATGAGAGTTAGTGAATGTGACAAAGTAGGAAAAAGCTAGGATTAAATTAACTATGGCCTTGTGCCTTGTAACCACTAAAGTTTGATATAGGCCATTATCCATAGCACACGATGAAGATGTTTGGCAGGAGTCTTGCATCAGTCAATCAATCAGGTGCCTTCTCCACATTGAAGATTGGCTGCAATTGATCTCCAACACACTCTGTACTTGCCCTAGTTGTACACTCTCTCAGACTGCTGCCCATCCATCTCTTGACATTGTCTTGCATGAAGATCCATAAAATCAGCATAGAACCTGATGGTGACTGAGATTAAATGCAGAATATCACGATAGACACAACAGCCTTAGTTTTCCCTCACGCTGTGATCAAAATCACAGTGCCACTTTTGCATTCTAATGAAGGCTTACTTTTTTTTTTTTTTTTTTAAATATGATTATTAACTCTTTGAGTCCCAGGGGATTTAACATCAGAGGCCCAAGGGGTGGTAGGCAATTTTTTTAATTTCACAAGTGTAACACATTAAAACAGACCATAATAATTCAATTGCTGCTCAACATACACATATTATTCATTAAAGTGACCAGGGTTTGTTGAGGAATAATTTTAGAATACAGCTACAACAAATAATTGCATTAAGAATTAAATATTAGTAAATAAACAGACCATATGTTTACAAAAACTAGTAAAATGAAATTTTAAAAATTCCACTTACCACCATATCACTCAAGAAAAACTGGTTAAAATGTATCCAAAATGAATCACAAATGAATATGAACCATTTAGTAATGTATAAGTAAAATATAAACTCAGTATATACATTAGATTTTGTTCCAGATAATCTTTTGAAGCATCATAACAGAGCACCATTATTTGGTAAAGAAATCTGACTCCCAAAACAATAAGTATCTTCACGCAAAACCAAGTTTATAACACACAATATGCCTGTAATTTTGTAGCTATGTTCCTAAATAATAAAGGGGAAAAGCACTAGAACTGACACTGAAGAAAATCATCTTTTCACTAATCTGTATTTATTTGTGCCAGCTGACTTTGCTATCATTGTACCCTTTGTGTGAGGTATACATTAGACATATCCCTCATCAAAGTTTGACTCTATAAATGACTGAAACAAGTCTAATTCGCAATGTTATCTATCTTACTTCGGATAAATCTAAAAAAAAAAAAAAAATACTTTTATTTAAATTTTAGGCTTTTAAGGCCGTAAATCATTTTGGCATGCACGTAGAATTCTGCTTGGTGGACTTATTTTTTTTAAACAAACACTTAGTAACTCTGTGAATCCTGCAAATATGCTATATTTTCAGCTTTCAACCCACGTTTCTAAATGAGCACGCCTGATATTAGATACAAAGAACTCAAAGGAAGTTTAAATTGAGCGGACCGCGTTTTACAACCGGTCAGTCGTGGATTAAAAACCTTCACTTGTCACGCGTCAGTTTGGGCCGCGTGGTTGTAACAAATTAGCGTGTGATGTGTTTCCTGGGACTCAAAGAGTTAAAAAGTAGACGTCTGTGGCAGGCCATTGAAAATATGAAAGTTCTGTGGGTCTTATCCAATCGGGAACTACTGCTCTAGGTAATCAGTCATCTTGCCGCTTCTAACGTTACTTTGATGTCATTTCTTAGCCTGTCTCTTCAAGGCAATCACATTTGTAGCTATTATTTGGCTTCTCATCTCACACGCTTTGATCTCCTTATCTTGCACCTTATTATTTGATGTCAGTTTGACTGCTATTGTTTTTGACAGAGCTACCAAACCTACAGAGCCTGAGCTTGGAAGGTACCAGTGTCACAGATCCAAGTGTTATTCAGTTTGCTGAGTCTGGGAGTTGTCCCCATCTGCAGCATTTAGACCTGAGTCGGACACCGGTCACTCATGAGATCTTCATGCATTTACAAAGTAGGTGCCCCAAATAAGAGGCGTAGCATTATTACTTGTAAATGTCTTTTGGGATGTTTCATTTAAAATTTGTTTGTTTTGTGTGTGTATGAGTGTATTTCCGTGTGTGTGGAAGCAGGTTTGTGTTTTTTGTTGTTGTTGTTGATTATGCAGGTTAAAAAAAATAGCACCTATGGCACTCACAAGTTTGCCCCATTTCTGCCAGCAGATGCCACAGTGCGAGATATCTTGTAGTAGAATAAGACAAACATCTTGTAGTAGAATTAGACAAACATCTTGTAGTAGAATTAGACAAACAGAACTTTTGCCTTGCAGATGTTTTCCTTGCCGTGTGATTGACAAGTGTTTTGTTAAAGTCAACTAATGAAGGGTATTTCCTTCAGAGTCCATCTGCCTGAGAGGCAAGGAACCAACAGTCTGCATACAAATAAGCCAGATGTGTGTGCAAAACTCTGGAACCAAAAGTTCTTGAACAAGATTAAAGTTCTTAAGTTGGCAAACAGCCTTAACTTTTCGCCAGTTTACAGCTGGTAAACACTAAGAAGTAGAAAGAATTGTTTTTACAAAAGTAAATGTTTGTAATTAACATACAGCATTAGTTAGATAGTGAAAATCAATTGAAGTAAAAAGCACAGAAATTAAACAAATGATCGAATGTAACTCATTATTGTGGAAGAATGGATAGAAAAAATCAACATATGTTGTGCGAAAGCAGTTTAGGTTATGGGACAATTAACACCGTTTCTGACGCACAGAAAGATAACTGTCAACCAAAGCAAATCTCATGAGAACAGCTTTTTGGCCGACATTGTGCTACCAGTGAGAAATGTGGACCCTTACTACAACTAATGAGCGGAAGATCACAAAAACATAAAAGCTGCCAGTGTGACAAGAAGAGATAAAATCAAGAATGAAGAAATTAGAACAAGACTGGGACTGAAACCAGTCATACAATTCATTAATACAGTTCATAGTTGCTAGAACAGAGGAAATAAATGAAGCCATTTATTCTCTCTGTTCTGGCAACTATGAACATCTTTTAACTACAGTCAAAATGCAGGAAACTGCAGTGTTATAGACATGTAATAAGATCTAAGCCTCTTAAAAACATTACTACAGGGCTCACTGGAGGAGAAGAGAATAGGCAGAACAAGAAAGGACCTGGATACAGAATTCGCTGACTGGACAGGCCATAGGCATCTGACCGTCAAACGTGTGAGAGCTGCTGAGACAGTCAACAGTAACTGGTGACCAAAGGCAGGAGTTGTGCATAACATGTACAAGTGGATCAAAGACTTTCTTTTCCAACGCAGAGCTAGATTCAGAATTGATGGACACGGCAAACTGGCAAAACTAAGAGAAGGAGTTCCCCAGGGCAGTGCGATAGCACCAACTCTGTTCCTGGTTTACATAAATGATATCACAGCAACCTGCCACCAGCACGTTTATAAACCCTACATGCTGATGACTTTGCAGTTTGGACAGCCTCTGAATACACTACCACAACCTCATATCTGTTACCGAAAACTGGAAAATGTAGAAGCCTGGACCGAAAAGTGGGGTCTAAAGCTAAATAATTCAAAAAGCACAGCATCATTTTTCTCTCTCTCCCCCAAAAAAGAAAAAAATCAAAATTCGGATAAAAAACCAGCTCATTCCACAGACTAACACTCCTGCCTTTCTTGGCATTACACTTGATTCGCGACTAACTTGGAAGTCACACGTAGAAGCAGTACAGGGGAAAGCATTCAAGAAGCTTGCAGTGATGAAAAAAATTAGCGGGTACTACATGGGGAGCTAACTCCAGAATCCTAAAACAAGTATATACTGGATCAGTCAGGCCAGTCATGGAATATGCCTCCACTGCATGGGCTGCAACAGCCAAGACAATAGTGGGAAAACTGGACAAGGTTCAGAATATGGGATTAAGGATTGTTCTCGGAGCCATGAAATCCACCCCCATCAGAGAGATAGAGAGGATAGCAGATACTGAACCACTCAAACTCAGAAGACAATACAAAACACTTTTACAGTATGAGAAATTAAAAAGACTTCAAAGTCACCCACTGCATTTTAAATTTCAAGAGAGAACAAAAAACAGACTGAAGCGTCAGAGCCCCAACCACATTGCTAGAGAACTGTACAGACAGCACCAAGATCTGCTTGAAAGAGATGTAGCTCTGTGCGAAAAACTTAGGCCAGAACCATGGACAAGCAAGCCAGAGAAGGCAAATGTAGTTCTAAAGGTACCAGGGATCACTTCAAAAGATGCCCAGACGGAGACACAACAGAGAACCATGACTCTTGCTATGCTTGATGAGAAGTATCCAAACACCACTTGGACTCAGGTTTTCACTGACGGCTCTGCTACAGATGCAGTCAGAAAGGGGGGTTGTGGAATATACATTAAACCCCCTAGCAGTAGAGCAGAAACTCTCTCTACCAGCAGGTGACATCTGCACTAACTTCAGAGCTGAGGCAACTGCCCTCCTTTCTGCAGTCCAACATCTCATCACTCAAGAACACAGAGGGCACAAAATTGTTATACTTAGTGACTCATTGTCTGTTCTCCAAGCACTATCAAGCAAAAAACAAGACAAACTAATTGCAGATCTAAGGACCAACATTGGCTTACTCTCCAAGGAAGCAGAACTGGTCTTGCAGTGGATACCAGCCCACTGTGGTATTCAAGGAAATGAGAGAGCAGATGAGTTGGCAAAAGCTGGGAGTAATCTTCCACATCCTCATCCACCACACAGCTGCAAGGAAACCAAAACAGCACTAAAGCAGTCTTTCAAGCGGGAGTGGAGAAAGCAGAATAGAGATTACAGACCAGAGAGTGACAGCATAAACAAACTCAACAGGAAAGAACAAACATCAATTTTTAGACTTCAGACTGGACACTGTGATCTTCGAGCACACCTGTACAGGATAGGCATAAAAGAATCTGCTGCCTGTGATTGTGGAGCAGAAAGACAGACCCCTGAGCACATACTGCAGTACTGCCCTTACCTCTCCCAGCAAAGACTGTGGATCTGGCCCAGGGGATCCACATTGCGAGAGAAGCTATGGGGGACCGGTGGCGACCTTAAACGCACCATCCTTTTTCTGACCCAGGCGGGACTCAATGTGTAGCATGATTGATGTCGAACGCAGAAGAAGAAGGTGACCAAATGACATGCAGTTTTATGGGATGATTCTGTAGAGGCACCAGTTAATAATGCTTGTATTAACCCCTCAATTTAACTACCTTTGACACATAGTGACTTTGTGCAACTACTTCAGGCACACATATTTGTTGCCTCTAAGCTGACATTGGATAGGAAGCCTGTTGAGAAATCCTTAGAGAAGTATAACCTTACCCAGGAACCCACCGGGGTTATATAAATAAAGGCAGACTGATAAAGCTATAAAGAAATAAGCTAAAAAATGAAGTTGAAATGATGGGAAGGATATAGCATGAGTTGCATGTGATAGCAAAGGATAGGCTGATTTGGCATGAGCTGTTTGAAGGCCTGAACTCCATTGGGAGAGAAAGGGGAGAAGATGAAGCTCAATTCCTTGGAGTTGTAGAGTTCAACAGTTGCTTGAAGTTGAAAGAGTTGTATCACATCTGTATGATTAATGCAATACTTTCACTTTTTGCAGAATTTACAAAGTTGAGATCGCTGTATTTAAAACAGTGTAAGGTAAGTGTTAGGCAGGTTAAATAGCATTATATTTTTTATTGAGATTAAATTGCCGGCATGAATTAAATTCTTTCTAACCTCAGCAGCATGAAGAAAGGAAATATAAATGACAATACTATTTACCATGACTGCTTTATGAAAGTGAGATAATAATGGACAACTAGGCTTAAAGAGGGAACCAGAGAGAGAGAAAAAACAGACCACTGCATTTTAATGCAGGTCCTTTCTCGTGGAGACACATTTTGGATAAAGCTCTCAGAAGAAAGAGAGCACAAAACAGAAGATCACTGCTAGGGATGGCAAAGATGAAGATGTTTGTTTCAGCCTTCATGCATACATATGTATCATGTATTAGGACCAATAATATTGAGGTAATGCCAAAGACAGTAATATGGATAGCGTAAGCACTATTTTTGTAATTGCTGTTTTTGGGTCATTTATAATTTTAACTCATGTGAAGGCTGAAGTATAATTTTGACTTAACCATAAGGGTGACCAGTTGGTCGAGTTTCTTCATGTGTTAATTTTTTTCTGGGTTCAGTCACTGCTTTCATAATTTTGGTTGCCTGGCATGTTATGGTCTTATTAGTCGATGGAATAAAACAAGCAAACAAAATTATGTAAACATTTTGAAAACCTGCACTTTCCAGTGGATACACATGTTGGTCATGGATCATTCAGCGACCTTTAAGGAAGAAAATCACCCTATGTGTTTTCCCGGGGCACCATTTTTGGGGGGGAAAAGGAATAGACCCACTGCACGCCTCTCCGCCCCCAATAAGCATGACATACAACACAACTAATTAGGGTTGTTATTTTTTCAGTCAGAATGCTGGCGTGGGAGGCGATGAACCAACAGTCTGCATACAAATAAGCTACATCTGTAAATTGGCTTTCCATGCATAAAAGTCAGCTTCTGATTAAAGTCAGGAAGTCGATAAACAGCCAGAACTTTCCACCAGAGTTTGCAGCTGATGAAGAAGAAGGATGAAGAATTTCAAGACTTCTGAACTTAAAGGATTCATTAAAAAGTCTTTAGCACCTTCAGCCCTAACTCATTGGGCTCGAAGGACCCCCCCCCCCCCCCCCCCCTTCCCCCCACACCCCTTTCCTACATCCCAAAAGTGGTAAATATAGGCAGTAATGACAACAGTTTTATGGATGTTGACTACAGTTGAAAACCTTTTTTTTTTTTTTTGTATATATTCAATTGTCACTTTACAGATTTCCAGCTTGGTTGGCTTAGATGGTGTTGTCACACTGGAAAATTTAGACATCTCTGATACTAATATAGTAACAGACTCTGTCTTATGCCTCACTCGACTTCCAAACCTGCGGCAAATAAGCCTCACAGGAACCCAGGAGGTGCATGGGGACAAAGCCCTGTATTATCTCAAAGGTAAGTATTGTTTTAGTATTTTAGTCATTAAATGCAACTAACACAGAACGGGCAGTTACTTTTGAGAGTGATTATGTATTTAAGTTGTAAAGAATTCATTTTTCTGCTTAATTTTGTTTCACTGTTGCTGTAGTTTGCACCTGACGAGATACAGCATCAATGCCAGGCAGTGAAATGTGCATTCTTTATTTGTTTCTTCTTTATTCAGACCAATGAAGAACACTCTGCATGTTTGATGCATGTGCAGGCTGTTGAATTATACCAGGACTGCTATCTGTTTGACTTTTCACAAATGCAGTGATAGGTAAACTAGCATGGTTTTCATGCACAGGAGCAGAGCAGCAATATGAGGACCCGTTTGCGAAGAGGTTAAAACCCCAACTGAAAACCTGAAAGCCATATTTAGCATGTAGCGCATATGATTAGACATAGAAGTAAGTTCACAACCCTTTTCCACATCATTAGGCATATTAGGCATTAATTGCAAGACCTATATTTTAAGGGGGAGGGGGATACCATCATCAGTCAAATTTTGGGGTGGTGGAACCGTTCAGGGGGTGTAGGAGCCTCAAGTGAATTTAGGGGCCATGAACAGACATAAGGCAGAGGTGGAGACAAAGAAGTAGAAGAAGGGAAAAAAAACATTTTTATTAACTATCCTGTGCGAATTCAGGCATTAAAACTACTATGTACCAAATCATTTAAACAAGTAAATGTTACTTTCTGTAGTCCTTCTCTGGTGAATAATAAAAAAAAAAATGTCCTCATGTTTATTAGCTGTTTAATTTTGGTAGAAAGTTCTGGTTGTTCGTCCACTTCTGGAATATTGCCCTGTTCTGGAGCCTGAGTTTTGTGTGCACATCTATTTTACAGATCTGACTACATTGTATGCAGATTGTCAGTTTCTTGCCCCTCAGGCAGATGCACTGCGACTTTGAAGAAAGCTTCCTGTTAGTTCTTACCAAATACTTTTGGGTAGGCAGTGGGTCTGTTCTTGTTTTCCCTTCAATAAGGCCACGGAACACACACAGAGAAATATTTTAAATAATCTTGTTCCTGCAGCTCAGTAGCTTGCATTCTTGCTTGCCATTTTAGTACTCTGGTAGTGGGATAGTCATGTAGTGGGATGGTCATGTAGTGGGATGGTCATGTAGTGGGATGGTCATGTAGTGGGATAGCCTTGTAGTGGGATAGTCATGTAGTGGGATAGTTTTGTAGTGGGATGGTCATGTAGTGGGATAGTCATGTAGTGGGATAGTCTTGTAGTGGGATGGTCATGTAGTGGGATAGTCATGTAGTGGGATAGTCATGTAGTGGGATAGTCTTGTAGTGGGATAGTCTTGTAGTGGGATGGCCTTGTAGTGGGATAGCCTTGTAGTGGGATGGCCTTGTAGTGGGATAATCTTGTAGTGGGATAGCCTTGTAGTGGGATAATCTTGTAGTGGGATAGCCTTGTAGTGGGATAGTCATGTAGTGGGATGGTCATGTAGTGGGATAGTCTTGTAGTGGGATAGCCTTGTAGTGGGATAGCCTTGTAGTGGGATAATCTTGTAGTGGGATGGTCATGTAGTGGGATAGCCTTGTAGTGGGATGGTCTTGTAGTGGGATAGCCTTGTAGTGGGATGGTCATGTAGTGGGATAGCCTTGTAGTGGGATGGTCATGTAGTGGGATAGCCTTGTAGTGGGATGGTCTTGTAGTGGGATAGCCTTGTAGTGGGATGGTCATGTAGTGGGATAGCCTTGTAGTGGGATGGTCATGTAGTGGGATAGCCTTGTAGTGGGATGGTCTTGTAGTGGGATAGCCTTGTAGTGGGATGGTCATGTAGTGGGATAGCCTTGTAGTGGGATGGTCATGTAGTGGGATAGCCTTGTAGTGGGATGGCCTTGTAGTGGGATGGTCTTGTAGTGGGATAGTCTTGTAGTGGGATAGTCATGTAGTGGGATAGTCTTGTAGTGGGATAGTCATGTAGTGGGATAGTCATGTAGTGGGATAGCCTTGTAGTGGGATAGCCTTGTAGTGGGATAGCCTTGTAGTGGGATGGTCATGTAGTGGGATAGTCGGTCATGTAGTGGGATAGTCGGTCATGTAGTGGGATAGTCATGTAGTGGGATAGTCATGTAGTGGGATAGTCTTGTAGTGGGATAATCTTGTAGTGGGATAATCTTGTAGTGGGATAATCATGTAGTGGGATAATCATGTAGTGGGATAGTCATGTAGTGGGATGGTCATGTAGTGGGATGGTCATGTAGTGGGATGGTCTTGTAGTGGGATAGTCTTGTAGTGGGATAGTCTTGTAGTGGGATAGTTTTGTAGTGGGATGGTCATGTAGTGGGGTGGTCATGTAGTGGGATAATCTTGTAGTGGGATAGTCATCTAGTGGGATAGTCATGTAGTGGGATGGTCATGTAGTGGGATGGTCATGTAGTGGGATGGTCTTGTAGTGGGATGGTCTTGTAGTGGGATGGTCTTGTAGTGGGATAATCATGTAGTGGGATGGTCATGTAGTGGGATGGTCATGTAGTGTGATAATCTTGTAGTGGGATGGTCTTGTAGTGGGATGGTCATGTAGTGGGATGGTCATGTAGTGGGATGGTCATGTAGTGGGATGGTCATGTAGTGGGATGGTCATGTAGTGGGATGGTCATGTCGTGGGATGGTCATGTAGTGGGATAGTCATGTAGTGGGATAGTCATGTAGTGGGATAGCCTTGTAGTGGGATAGCCTTGTAGTGGGATAGTCGTGTAGTGGGATAGCCGTGTAGTGGGATAGCCGTGTAGTGGGATAGTCATGTAGTGGGATGGCCTTGTAGTGGGATGGTCATGTAATGGGATAGTCGTGTGGTGGGATCCTTTTCAACGCAAAAATCCCTTTTCCAGTTGACCTGAATACATATTGATCCAGTCTAAAATGTGAATTGGGAAATGTTCAGGAAATAAATCTGGTCAGTATGATATTGTTCTTCTCAACTTTTAGGTGCCGATTGGTAAAAAAAAATATGTGTTAAGCAGCTACATATACACGGTAGGTTTGAAAGTGGGAAGAAAGGTGCTTTGCTAACTCTTTATGTCCCAGAATGGCATAGCTAATGCCTGAGTGAAACAGTTATGATTTCAACAAAATCATATGTGTACTACATCCACAGGAATTCTATACACAGGAAATTGTAGGCGACAAATGTTTGTTGAATACTAGAGTATGCCTTGACTAAATGTAAGATGTACAAACATTCATGTATGTTTACTGAAGCACATAAGTATTCATACACAGTGAGCTGTTTGGTATTTAAGGGTTAAATCATATTTTCATTACTTACCTGCACATTTTCTTGCAGATTATATTTTGTTATTTAAATGTTACTGTCTCATAAATGTCTGATTGGCAGTTTTCTGTGTCTAGATATGAAACTGACATCATTGCTGTTGCCAAGCAGAAGCACAACCACTGATATTGGCATGGCTTTTATCTCAGGTGAGAAGTCACTTATAACATTGAAACATGCATTTACCTGAGAACTAACTCAAGTTTAAAAGCCTGCTACAGAGATTTCAGGACTGGAGAGAAGCATGTTTCTGTTGTAGTTATTATTGCTTTGCACAAGAGCAAGGAATTAAAACAGGAAGTTACAAGAAAAATGAGAAGTACATAGGGTGAGCTGCATTCATTGGCAAAGATGCCTTAGTACCTGTTAGATGAATTCCTTTTATTTAGATATAAAGTTAAGCATAAGAAGAAGGTGTCTCTTCATTTGCTTTTCATGCTTATAGCTGTTTTTAGTATGACAACAGCTGTATCATTGATGGCTTTTACCTACCTGTTCTTCTGTTTAAAAAAAAATGGATGATTAAAGACAGATTGATTGACTTCATCTCACCTGCTTTTATTGCCAGAGCCTGTAAGGTTAAAAATATTCACTGATTCTTTGCCTGTTTTTTTTTTTTTAAATTCAACTACAGAACACTTTGAAATGGGTTAAGTGTCATTTTCAGTATGAGCCTTATTTGATAATTCTCCAGCATCTTCAGTAAACATTTATACTTCTCTTCGTTTATTTGTCAGTAGTCTCCAAATAAATGTACAGAAACTACTATCTTCCTCACTGTAACCCTCCTCTAAAGATAGGTTATTTATAACCCCTGAGCACCTGTAAGAGGTGAGGAAAAAGATGCCGGCATTGGATTGGACACACGCTGAGAAAACTGGATAGAAGCAAAACAAGAATGCACTGGTACTCACATTGTTAAAAGAACAGTGGCAGACCACAAACCACATGGAGGAAGGAATTAGAGAAAGTAAAAAATGAAGAGAACATGGTGTAAGTTGCAGGAGGTATGAAAGGGTAGGTCATCTTAGCCTGAGCTGGTTGAGGGCTACTGTTCCAGCGGCAGATAAAGGACAGGAGACGAGAGGAACACCTGTAAATACATGACATGTGAGTGAACTTATGTACTGTGTCATACCATAACTACTTGTCTCTGCTCAACTGTGTAGGTTTTCTCTTGACAAGCCTGGATCTCACAAACTACACAAATATCACAGATGCTGGGATGGTTCACATTGGGAAGATTGTGAGGTATATTTTTATGTTGTCTCTCTTATATGTCGGCTCTGTGACTAAGTCGATGCAAACGCTTCGTAATGCTGGGATGGTTCACATTGGGAAGATTGTGAGGTATATTTTTATGTTGTCTCTCTTATATGTCGGCTCTGTGACTAAGTGGATGCGAACGCTTCGTAATGCTGGGATGGTTCACATTGGGAAGATTGTGAGGTATATTTTTATGTTGTCTCTCTTATATGTCGGCTCTGTGACTAAGTGGATGCGAACGCTTCGTAATGCTGGGATGGTTCACATTGGGAAGATTGTGAGGTATATTTTTATGTTGGCTCTGTGACTAAGTCGATGCGAACGCTTCGTAATGCTGGGATGGTTCACATTGGGAAGATTGTGAGGTATATTTTTATGTTGTCTCTCTTATATGTCGGCTCTGTGACTAAGTCGATGCGAACGCTTCGTAATGCTGGGATGGTTCACATTGGGAAGATTGTGAGGTATATTTTTATGTTGTCTCTCTTATATGTCGGCTCTGTGACTAAGTGGATGCGAACGCTTCGTAATGCTGGGATGGTTCACATTGGGAAGATTGTGAGGTATATTTTTATGTTGTCTCTCTTATATGTCGGCTCTGTGACTAAGTGGATGCGAACGCTTCGTAATGCTGGGATGGTTCACATTGGGAAGATTGTGAGGTATATTTTTATGTTGTCTCTCTTATATGTCGGCTCTGTGACTAAGTCGATGCAAACGCTTCGTAATGCTGGGATGGTTCACATTGGGAAGATTGTGAGGTATATTTTTATGTTGTCTCTCTTATATGTCGGCTCTGTGACTAAGTCGATGCGAACGCTTCGTAATGCTGGGATGGTTCACATTGGGAAGATTGTGAGGTATATTTTTATGTTGTCTCTCTTATATGTCGGCTCTGTGACTAAGTCGATGCAAACGCTTCGTAATGCTGGGATGGTTCACATTGGGAAGATTGTGAGGTATATTTTTATGTTGTCTCTCTTATATGTCGGCTCTGTGACTAAGTCGATGCAAACGCTTCGTAATGCTGGGATGGTTCACATTGGGAAGATTGTGAGGTATATTTTTATGTTGTCTCTCTTATATGTTGGCTCTGTGACTAAGTCGATGCAAACGCTTCGTAATGCTGGGATGGTTCACATTGGGAAGATTGTGAGGTATATTTTTATGTTGTCTCTCTTATATGTTGGCTCTGTGACTAAGTCGATGCAAACGCTTCGTAATGCTGGGATGGTTCACATTGGGAAGATTGTGAGGTATATTTTTATGTTGTCTCTCTTATATGTTGGCTCTGTGACTAAGTCGATGCAAACGCTTCGTAATGCTGGGATGCCAGGTTCGATCCCAGCTGCGGGCCATGCACCTTGCGTTGATTTTGACAGTAGCTTCAAGGAAGCCGACCGTCCAGAAAGCAATGGCAAACTACTGGACGTAAATTTGCCTAGAAAAACTGCACAACAGCCAGTGGCTGTTGGGGTTGGTTCTGCAGCGTCCTGTAAAGGATACACAACTAACCTAACCTCTCTCATATAGAATATTCCTTCTCCCCATATGGGTTTCGGGGCCTTATTTTGGGGGGAGGGAGAAAGTGGTTGCTGTTGTGTAGTGGCAATACGTTTGCCTGGGTGTTTAAAGGTCATGGATTCAGATACAAACAGAGCAGAACTTTAAACAAAAAATGATCTTGGCACCCAAGGTAAAATCCTTGGAAGTAAAGGCGGCCAGCGGATGTTGACTACATTACCCACATAGTGCTGATTGGCCTATAAAATATAGGTCTAGCACCATATGCCTGAAGGCGTAGAAAAGGGAAACCCCCTAACAAGCATGTCATAAAAGATTAATTGTTAGGGATGTGTTAAAATCCGTTGTATTGGGTCAGAGAGATGAAATATTGCAACCTAGCTGTAAACCACAACAGGTTACCCACTGCCTTTTTTTATGGGTAAAAGCGGAAGAAGAAGAACACTCTTCATAAGTATTTTTTATACTTGGTATAGGGGAGTTGCTAGCAGGCTGACCTATGTGCCTAGTGGTCATAGAGTCGAATCCTCCACACATCTGGGTCCTAGAAATTGCCCTCGGAAGTAAGGTAGCTGGCTTGATAGTCATCAGGCCAACTGTGCTAACTGGGCCTTTACTAATTTAGGGCTTGCTAACATTATTTTCTATCAACATAAATTCTGTGTTTCCCTTGTGGGTTCGGAGCATCATTTGGAAAACAGAATAGACCAACTGCTGTCCCAACAAGCATGCAGTAGGAGATGACTAATTAGGGATTTGTCCTTCTCAGTGAATATGCATGAGAGGCAAGGAACAAACAGTCTGCATACAAATTAACCAGATGTGTAAAACCAGTGGGCATGCAAAAGTTCTGGATCAAAACCACAAAGTCCAGAAGAAGAACAAGCATAACTTTCCACCGGAGTTTACAGCCACTGAATGTGAAGAAGAAGAAATTCTGTGTCAGTTTGAGTTGGTGGCTTTGTATAGTTTAAACTTTTTCAGCCCCCAAGACATTCAGTGATATGTGATTGGTAATTACTCCGGAGTCTGAAAACGTTGCCTCTTGTGTGAATTGCTGTAAACTTTCTTGTAGTATTTTGACAGGCTTCATCACAGTATAGACCATGGTCAATCCTTCCTTTTTTAGCCTAATGCCTTTTCAGAGTGCTTGATAATAGTGCTTTTTTTTTCTAGAACAAAAAGGTGCTGGTACTCACTAGAAATTATATTCTTCAAAATAAAAGTAAAGGCTCCTTTGCACGCCATTGGCGCATCAGGCACATGAGGTTAGACTCATATTTGTATAGACAGATCAGCCCTTGATGGGTTAGGTGGCCAGCATCATGCTGGCCTTTCTCGGTAATGCTGGGGAAAAATTGATGCCTTTCACAAATGCCAGTACTGCATACCTTTGCGTACCGCCAGAAAAAACCCTACCTCATATTGAGGTGAACAAGTCAAATAAATAATTCAGTATCGGACATCATTACTACTGTAAATCTAAATTGTTGAGGAGAAAATGATTCACTTCAGCATCCCATGTTGAGACGACAGATTACTTGGGTTATATAATGATATCTAAATTATTGAGTTTGCTTCAAGTTACAGGGAAATCTTGTTAACACGAATTTTCCTGATAAGAACACTCAGTTAACATGAACCAAAATGTTGATCCCTGCAGGAATGTATTAATATGGATCCCCAGTTAGCTTTGATTATTTATTTTTTTTATCTTGATTTTTCAGTTTGTTAGTATTTGTATTAACATGTGCTTTAAGTCCCCTTTAGACAAATGTCACTTATTTTTTTGCACACTTGTGCTATTATACAGTATAACTTGTAAAATATATCACTATCTAGTTTGAAGAAATTGCTGCTGTCCAACACAAAAGTGTCTGATGAAGGTGTACAATATTTGACAGGTATAGTATTTTTTATTTTTTTTTGTTTCAGTGTTAATGCTTAAACAGTAAAAATACCTTTATTACAATTATCATGATTAAAGAGAAAGCATGTTTTTGTTACAGGTGTCATTATCCATACAGTATGATTTAAAAAAAAAAATTTTATTTTTGAAATCATTATACAAAACACATGCTTTTGTTACATGATCAGTATAGATCAGCGGTTCTCAGCCTGTGGGTCACGGCTTGTTTTGGGGGGGGGTCGAACGACCATCGGAAAACATATTCATTGAAGTTATGAAGGAAAATAATAGTTTGTTGGTCGCCACAACATGAGGGAACCAGATAATGCATGTTTTCGTTACAGGTGTCATTATAGATATCACATGATTTGGTTAGTTATCATTATAGATAAATAGCGAATTTGATTATTGTTATTTGATGCTAGGGTTGGTTCTGCAACATCCTATACAAGATGCACAACTAACTTTATTTAGTATTATGTAAGTCTTTAAAACAGATCTGATTTTAGCTAGGAATTTTTTTTTTTTAATCACCTAATAATCACCCTAAATTTCTTTACTTTGACTTTTTCCCTCTTATTTTTTTTCCCAACAGGTCTTGTAAATTTAGAGGTCTTTTTTGTTGACAGAACATTTTTATCAAATGCTGGAGCAGCAGTAATTAGCAGTAAGTTGTCAGTGTTTGACTGGTTGGCAGTTTTTCAGGAAAACTGTTTTAACAGTTGTGTCTGATGCAGTTGCATTCATGTATGTAACGAGTTAATTTTTAACTCTCTGATTTGCTGGTGGTGGGTATGTGTTGCAGCCCTACCTCCTAATGCAAGTGAGACAGTTGGGACACATGGTTTTGATATTATTAACAATATCCCTGGACACACAGTTACAGCCTGTAGTAAGCTGTTAAAATAAATATTAGCTGGCTGTGTATCCCCAGAAATAGGAAAGAGGAACTTCGACATCAAGAGATAATGGGTTAATACTAGACAAGAGAAGAATTGAGAGCAAATCGAAATATGAATTATAAGAAGCACAAGTGGGTTTTAGACAGGGCAGCGAAGCAAGAGACTATATTTTTAATATGAGAATGATCCTAGAGCAGTGTAGAGAATACAAGATAGATCTTCACACTTGTTTCATATACTACAGCAAGGCATTTGACTGTGCAACATCATAAACAGGCATATTTTGAGAGGCATGGGATTTCCAAAGCATCTGGTGCACTTAATGGAATCTCTTTACCATGAACAAGCCGCAGTCACAGTAGCTCTTGAAACATCACATTGGAAAAGACAGTGATGAAAGATGCAGTTTGTGGAAGTCGAGGCAGGGGTTGACCTCCCCGAAGATGGATACAGGACATTAAAAATGCATTGGAATTGAAAGCGTATGAGGCTGAAGAGCTGGCTAGGGACAGATACTTTCAGGCAGAGGTAAGGTTTTATCAAATCTGGGATTATTTTTTGTCTTGATGCCACCTACAGAACAGATAAATTTAATGGGGAATTCCCATTATGATGATGTCACTCCTATGTGCATGGCCACACTATGACATAAGTGAGAGTTAAATTTGCATCACTCTGCACTGTAATATAACAAGAGGCAAAAGAAGTGCTTTGGGGTTCTTAGCAAAAGCTTATAGTGGATGTTACGTGCAGGAGGGCCTATCATTTGAGACTACAATATCCAGCTTAAAATGGAGGTGGAGGCAGTCACTGCAGTTTGCCGCTGGCTAGAGAACACGATGCCCACACACATCTTGATTGTAACTGAAACATGCTGAGGAAGATGAGGACAGGTATGCTTCATGCTAAGTGGCATGCTTCGATTTGGAGCTCACTCTGTACAGCTTGATGGAACATTGATGCGTGATAAGGCAGATGTAGTTAAGGCCTTTTGGAAACAGGTGTTCAACTCAGAACAGCATATTGCTTATCACAGTCTGGTGAGAATGATGCAGTGATGGGATCTGGGCTATATGCAACGCTCAGTGAAAAGGCAAGACAGACATATAAGACTGCTGCTTGCACCATTGGTACTGGAACTCTGTGCTAGTTTGCTGAAGATGGGGATGGAGTGCTTATGGGATGGTCCTGGTGCTGTGATGTCAGTTCTTGAATGAACTCAATTCATAACTATGAAATAATGTATACGTTGAAAGGGATAGTGCTTGGGTGTATGTCCTGTTTGGTAATGTTGTCCTCTGAGGTATCTTGTGACACTATACCTCAAACATTGAAAAAAGCTGGCATCAGTTGGAGTGCTCTGTTTTGTAGAGATTGATCTTCAGTACCAAAGGGTTATCTCTGTCTTCAGTACCAAAGGGTTATCTCTGTAGAAATTTTGCTACAAAGGTTTTTTTCCTTCCCCTCTCCAAGTTCAGAAACCAGCAGGGCATGTGTAACATGTGTTGATGCTGCTAAATTTAAAATCAAGAGAATTGACTTCATTGCATTGGCTTTTATCGCACATGGCTCATCTCTTGCCACACTCGCCCATACCTGCTTAAGACTGCCTGTTGCACCTGGCTGGTGTAGCATCAGAGAGAAACCTGGAAACCTGAACTCTCAGAGTTGCTGATTTTGATTGTCTGGGAGGCGCTAATGAAGGTATCACAATTAACAGTTATAAGAAAGATTAGTGTTCATAAGTCATGTCATGAGAAAAAAGGCAGTGACGAGCATCTTGGTGACTGGAGGGAAAAAAAGCAATAGAAGAATCATAGGATATTACAGACAGTTGTGATAGACAGTCCAAAAACCAGAATCGGTGCCATCTGTTTAAGGCACTTGATGATGACGGCAACCAATAATTCATACCAGTTTTGAATTCTTTATTTACTTTATTGATTGAAGTTTCAGTTAGATAATGAACTTAATTGGGTGTGTCTCCACAGAATCGTCAGCCACCCATCAAGTGCATCATACAAAATACAACTCCCTAGCTCCAGTGATGATCCCCAGAAATATGTAAAAACTGCACTTGTAAACCAAACAAAGCATCTGAAACAGAACGATCACCATCAGAGTGGAAAGGAAATGGCTTGACCTCTTTGCCACCGAGACCCCCCACCCCCAACCCCTTTAAAAAAAATTTGTTTAATCTTTTACTTGTGGATTATTAATCACACATTGAATAGAGTGACTGGGGCTGTATCAGTAAAACTGAATTACCCTTTGTAAATAAAAAAAATCATGTAAAAAATTTGAAGTTACCATGATAATCACATTGCTAATCTTCAATCTCTGTGCAGTAAATTGACAATATGGGTTATGCATTTTAGCAAAAAGGATTCATTTTTGTGCTTCTTTATGTGTTGATTTAACTCTAGTAAAGCACCTGACAAGATACAGCAAAATATGCCTGGCAATAAATTGTGCATGTATTGTTTGTGTCCGCATTATTTAAATTTGTATATGTCATCAGTTTCTACTTCATCAGCCAAGATTACTCACTGTTTCAGCTCATTCTTCTTTTTTGCTCCTCAGATTTCAAAAATTTGAATGAGCTGAGTTTGTCAGAAACAAGGTAATTATGTTTCTTGTATCTTGTTTCATATTTTTGTTTTTTAAATAAATATAACATTTGCTGTCTGGTTCACTTTTTTCCCTACACTAATATTAAACCTCTCGCTCTCTGACATTTGGTTTGTTTGTTTCTGTCTGCAGTGTCACAGGTGACTTCCTGAAACAAGGAATACTGAACAGTTGTATCAATCTGACAAAACTCAACATGAGCAAAACAATTATTGGGGATAAAGGTGAGGTTGTCTTTATTATTGTTAACCAATCATTGTTGATAAAGGTGAGCTTATATTTAATATTATTAACTAATCATGACTGACAAAGGTGAACTTATATTAACACATCATTGTTGATAAGTTGAGCTTATCTTTATTATTGTTAGCCAATCATTGTTGAAAAAGGTGAACTTATCTTTATTGTTATTAACCAATCATTGATAATTGAGCTTTTATTTATTAACCAGTCATCGTTGATAAAATGAGCTTATCTTTAATACTGTAAACATTCGTTGTTCTTACAAGGCATTAATAAGGACTATCATCACATCATTCTGGACAGATCCTTAAGTGCTCCGATCTCCTTGTCATTAGCTCCACAAGCAAAAACGTATCCCACTTATTCTGTGTTGACTTAAATGTCATGTCTTGCAACCCTAAATGTTAACCCCATAGCCACCAGCCTGGACAGGGATATGAAGTGAGGCCTGATGCCGTTATCTTCTCGATATTCATTTGGCATGGCAATGCTGGATTAGTCACCAAGATAATCTGCATGCCATTTAAAAACCTAACAAATTAATGACAGGAAACTTGTCTAGGCCATAATGTATATTGGGTATATGATGCCAGCCCCATGTTTTTATAGAGGAAATCAGCACTGGATGAATGATGTGGTCAGTATCACACGGGATGGCACAGCACCTGCAAGCCAGTACAATGAACAGTGTTGATATCATGCATCTTTTCCGTGGCAATTTATGGATGTGAGTCATGGATTCTTGCTCAGTCTTTGAAGACAAATATTTCAGCTTTTAACTGGAACGCTGCAGTGGACCAAGAAGAAGAAATACACCAACATCCTACATGATCTGAGCATCGAGGAGAAGCAGGTAATGAACAGCATCCTATCCCAAAAGCTGAGGTATATTGGTTGTGTTACGCGTCATGGTGGCCTGGAGAGAATAGTGATGGAGGATGCAGTTTGTGGAAAACAAAGCAGAGGCCAATCAGAGATGGATACAAAAGACAAATACAGATTTTTTGGCTATGAAAGTAAAAAGGGCTAGAGAAAGAGACTTTCAGGCATGCAATGACGAGAGTGCGACGTTCTGTAAAAATTGATGATAGAGATATGAGATTTCTTTATTGTTGTAAAGCAGTAATTGGTGATAAAAATTAGCTGCCCCTTTTTAAAACTGTCAGAGGTGAGCTAACTCTCACTTCCAAAACCAAGCAAAGACTCAGCAGTTTCAGGATTATCACCCTTTAAAATACTTTTGGCAAGGTGCAAGAGAACATTATTGCTGTTAAACTACAAATGTTTTTAGAAAGGGAGAAGCCCCTGCCAAAAGGTCTGGGTAGTTACCGGCCACTGAGAGGTACCTGGTCAAATGCAGCTACTTTTGCTTTTAATATTTATAAGCAGTTCCAGAACAGACAGGAGAAGGTCGTGGTAGCACTTGATCTTGAGGATGCCTACAATATAGTCAGATATGATATATTGATATCTGCGCTCATGGAGAAGGGGGTTTGTCTGTGGCTTGTGAACTGGATAGCAGCTGTCCTGCATTCACAATTGGTTTCACTTTCTTCTGGGTACATAGACCTCAGAACCTTATAATATCACCCCGGGACTACCTCAGGGTTCTGCATGTAGACAGGGAAGTGATAGACAACAGATAGCCTAAGGCAGTAGCTCTCAACCTTCCTAACGCCGCAACCCTTTAATATAGTTTCCTCATGTTGTGGCGGACTCCCAAAAAATTTTTTCATAACCTAAATGCATATGTCTTCCGATGGTCTTTGGCGACCCCTGTGAAAAGCTCATTCGACCCAAAAAAGGGTAACGACTGGCAGGTTGAGAACCTCTAGCCCAAGAGCTACAGGCAACTGTGACTGACTGGTGTGCTGAAGTGGGAGTTGTAATCAGCTCAGAAAAGGCGGCTGTTTTGTGGTGCGCTGTGGACAATGTCGGCGTCCGTGGCTTAAAAACGCGCTTCGTTATGCCAGGGTGCCGGGTTCAATCCCTGCTGCGGACGGTTAGTCTTGCGATGGTTTCGGTGGTGGTACCGAGAGCCGACCGTCCAGAAGCAATGGCACACTACTGAACATAAATTTGCCTAGAAAAACCACAACAGCCATAAAGTGCTGGGTTTGGTTCTGCAATGTCCTGTAAAGGATACGCTAATTAAATCAATCTATGGACAATAGAAGTGTCAGAGCTAATGTTCCAAGCCTCACAGTTAATAACAATAACATCAAAAGAGAAAGCAAACTGAGGTACCTGTGTATCATTTTTGGTAAAAGGCTGTCCTTTAGGGATCATGTGGAGGCATTTGAGGTGAAATGCCAAAAATGACTCAATGCTCTCAGGATTATATCAGCAATGGACATGGAACAAAGAATGCTGTTCACAGTGTTCCAGCATGTGATCCTGTTGGTGATAGATTATGTACATATCAAAGAGTCAGCTGATGAAACTTGAACGCATACAGAATGAAGGCATGCGGAAATTCTGAGATGTACAAGCATAGATAGTATGTATGCAATATTTACTTGCACTGCCTACTATTGCAGATGGGCTCAAAATTCTGCCAGCAAAGTCATATCTCAGAGGTGCTACAGACAAGAAGCACTTCATGCATGAAGCCCCGGGTAGAGCTAAGAGACACATGGACATCGCTTAGTGCAACAAAATCTAACATATGATATCACAACGTCTAGTTAAAAAATGAAGGTAGAGGCAGTCACTGTTGCCTTCTGCTGGCTTGAGAATCGGCTGTGCACACATGCCGTGATTGTAACTCACAGAGCATATTGAAGAAGGTGGAAACAGACATGCTCCATGCAGAGTGGCAGGCATCACTTCAGACGTTCCGGGTAGTTAGCATCCTTTGGATATGTTCTCCAGGTAATGCGGGTGTGTTGGGAAATAAACTGGCAGATAGACTGTTTGGTTCTGCACCACTTGGTGGTGAACTGGTGTATGTCAAGCTGGATGTTGTGAGGCCCTTTGGCAGCGAGTGAACAGTGTGGAAGCACAAATAGATCATTACGGTCTGAGGAGAATGGCGCTGCGAGGAGTTACCAGGGGGATCTGGCCAACGCTCAACACTCAAGGGAAGGGCAAGACGAATATACAATCAGACATCGCTACTGCTACCGTCAGAATTGGAACTCTTCACTGGCTGCTGAAGATGGGGACGGAGTGCTTATTTGGGTGTCCCGAGTGCTGTGATGTCGATTCATGATTCATTATTCAACACATTTTTATTGACATAAATTGTCAAGTATTATTATGTTGTATATTTTTTTTTCTGGTTTTCTTTTTTAATAAACAAGAGGCTGTTAGGTAACAAACAATTAAAAAGTCAAAACTGAGTATCTTGACATGTGAATGAACAGAAGAATAAGTCGTGCCTCATGGAAATAAATACAATCAGATACAGATGTTCTGGAGAAACTTGGCATAAAAAGGGATTTTGCTGAAGGAAATTAAAAAAAAAAAAAAATGCAAGTCAAAAATTTTGGCTACATTAAAAAGACGTAAATACTCTTTGAAAAAACTTCATGCCAGCCATTACATTACCATGACTTCACATGTGACCTATTGAAGGATATATTTTCCACACCGTCAGACTTATCTGGGCATATAGGAAAGTGAAAAAAAAGTAAAGGACCCTTTTCCACGCCTTTAGGCATATAGGGCTAGACCTCTATTTGTATAGCCCAGTCAGCGGGTGATGTGGTCAGCGTCACGCCAGCTGCCTTTACTTCACAGGACTGTACCTGGTACCATGGATTGACCTGTGAGTCAAGGTGATTTTTGACAAACATCCCGCTCCCTCTTGACCTAAACCCACGACCTTCTGATCCGCAGGTAAAGGTTTAGCCATGGCAGCTCCTCACATGACCTTGTAGTAGCTCAAAATCTAATTATAGATTTCTGTTCTTTCATGTTTAAAAAAACAGGTTTGGGGGGGGGGGGGGGGGGGGGGGGGAGGTGGGGTATTGAAATAAAACTTAAACATGTCTAGTTTTTCATGTTTCATAATTAGTAAATTATGTTGTTTCTGTTCCATTCTATAGGAATTGCTTTCTTGAAAATGCCCAACCTTCAGTATTTGAACCTTGATTGCACACATGTTCATCCACACATGCTCAGTGTCATTGAGAAGAATTGCCCACAGTTGAAGAAAGTGACAATTGTGACCCTGTCTTCAGTCATGGAGGTTGAAGAGAACTAATAGAGATTGAGGGGAACTAATGGAGGTTGAGGAGAACTAGTGGAGGTTGAGGTAAAAACTAACAAATCAGATTGTTACTTTGGTGTTTGTGAGAAGTCTACTGGGTTTTACACTCTAGTTCAGCCACATTGATTCATCTGTATGGAATGACATAATAATGATGTTTCTTTGTATAAAAGAGAAAATGAATGTACTTGTCAGTGATTTTAGTACTGAGCTAAAAAATAAATAAAATTATATTAGGAATGGCATGTGTATCTAACCTTCTCTGTATATTGTTTCTTTATTATATGATGAAGTTTTAACTGTTTCGGATTTGCTGCCATTTTGTTTTACTTAACCCTCTTAGCACGGACGGGCCGATTATCGGCCGGCGGATGTCTTGCCAAAAACACGGAACGGCCGACGATCGGCCCGATCGTGTTTCGCCTCGAACCGCTAAGAAATCTCCTACTTTGAAACACTGAAAGTGATTCATTTATATTAACTGCGGTATCAGCTTTACACATGGCGACTTTCGAGTGTTTGGTATCGAAGTGAAAATTGTTGTTGAATTTTTTAGATAGTGACCTGAACCGCTAAAAGTATGTCTGACTCGTATGTTTCTGCCCCTAAACTTGATGTTGATAAAACATTTGAATCAAGTGTTGACACTAATTCTGTTGATACTGATGCAGGATTTAGTGTTAGTAGTTATAGTGGGAATCAGATGGGGACGCTGTTGTGTTCAGACCACAGCCCAACCATGGCTCAGGGTATATCCACCCGAAGGTGTTGACACTCCGGCACATCCATTTATAGTGCTGACTGATGGTGAAAAACACATGTCACCTAAAGATATTATTGCTGTTTCACATATATATACCTGTTTTTGACTATTGAATTGCTTACAACATTTGTAAAAAGGCCAAAGATCAATAAAAAGATTTCAAATAAAAAAAATTTTTGTTTTTAGTTTTATGTTTCAAGCATTGAAGTTGAAAATTCAAATTCAAATTTTCTATTTTTAGATATGCAAATGAGATAATTTGCATATACATCAATTAATTTTAACGATATTGTGAAAATCATGAACTTCAATCTATATCCTTCAAATAGATATATTATTTCGTAGGGGTCAGAATAACAGAAACCTGTCAAAAAAATTAAATAAAGTAATAACCAAATTCACTGAAAAAAGGCTCCGTGTTTTTGGCTAGACCTCTGAAAAACTTCCCGTGCTAAAAGGGTTAAAAATAAAATGTAAAGTAGTGATGTTTAAGTCAAAAAGTGACACATGATTTATTTTATCTGACTCTTTTAGTTACTGATGTGTTGTCATCAGTTACTTACATAAGTAAGTTATGTAAACATATCTAATAAATGTTGTACGTGTTAATTGCTGTTGGTGTGTGCATAAGTAAGTTTGTATGTGATTGTATGTTGTTTATTATCTTTTTCACTCCCAGGAGATTTTTGTGTGTGCAGAATTGCCAGCTAAGGTTATAAACAGTCAGAAAAATCAGGAGTATATTTCTTCTCTTCTTCTTCTTCTTCCCTTTATCCACCAGAGGCACAGAAGCCCTCAACTAACTTGTGCCAAGTCATTTTATCTTTTTCTACACATACAGCTCACCCCAGTTTTTCTGTTCTTTTTCAGTTCTCTCACTTCTTCTGGTATTTTTTGGTCTGTCTTTATTCTGTGGGTTTCAGTTCAAGGACTTTGTAGCTACACTGTTCCCAGGTTTCCTTAGTGTGTATCCTACTGTATTCAATGCCAGTGACACTTTCTCACCTCTGGATTCAGGGGTATTTCTTTCAAATTGGATACATTTATAGTCTGGCTGCCCTTTAAGGAGCCAGATTCATTACTATTCTCTGATCAGTTTGTTAAAGGCTTCTTCATCATTTACCTTATCATATACCCTGCCAGTGAGCCTCGACAGTCATGGTTCACCATCCCTCATGATGACCAGTCATGGATCAGATCTGTGTTCTCATCCAACCTATGTCATGTGGCACCTAGACATTTATCTCTCTCTTTGACTTTGCTTCTCATCCATCAAGTTTGCCCATTGTAACTAAAGTTTTTTAGTGTATTTTTCCTGTCTAAACATCTTGGTTATCTTTCTTTCTCTTATTCAGTGGTTCCCATTTGGTAGTCAACTGACCCTCTAGGGTTAGCGGAACAAGTGTAAGAGGCCTAATTTGTTTGAAAATCCCTTTAAAGAATTATTTTAAATTTCCTCAGAAACAGTTTTCCGCAGCCATTTAATGTTCCTCGACTTGTCTGCTTGTTCATGTTTCACATGAAAACAACAGAACAGATTCTTCTTCTTCTGGCCTACTTATGTGCCGAATGTTTGTTGCATACCTGACAGGCAGATGGGTTCAGGGTCTGTATAGCTTGATAAGTAATTGACAAGTATCAACTGACACTCATAATGCTGGAGGAGGAAGAGATAGCACTTTGACACCCTTTTTTTTAAATTGGTGGTGGTAGTGGCATTTTGCTAACAAACAAAAAAGGGGGGAGGGGAAACGTCACGTTCAGCCAGCATCCCCGAAAGGGGAGCTTTAGGTTGTGGCCATCTTATGTACACCTTATAAAACAGCTTAGCATTGCACGCCACCAAGAGCCCTGAAAGGACTCTTGTAGTGTTGATGTGATCATAGAAGACAGATCCAAATACTATCCCGACCGACGACAAAGTTGTACACAGGTGAGCCTGCATCAAGTGAAGATTCAGATTCAGGGGGAACAGCCAGGCAGATAATGCACATCACTTGGGACTGAATGATGTATAAAAGCTTTATGACTGGTTCATTATCTGGGTATCAGAACATTCTGGCTTGTTCAGTCACAACAACGAAATTAACTAAACATTAGTTACCATAAAATCACACATAAAATACAAACAAAAATAATTCATATTTATTCCTTAAAACTGTGGTGCATGTTGTAAACTAAGTACTAAAAACTACATTTTAAATAATAAAAGTTACCTACTCTGGAACGCCATGAGCTTTTGTTCCAATTTGACATTGAAATTATTATGTGATTTCGGGTGGGGGGGTCTTCAAAACTAAGTATTTGTTGTCTCATGTTCTGAAGGATGTAGGCTCATGTCACGGACTGCATCGTACAGCTCATGAGTACAGTTTTTAATAAGATCTCTGGGGATTGTCACTAGAGCCATGGTGTTTGTGCTTTGTGTGATGCGTTGTGCATTGGATAGCAGTTTTGTGGGGAGAAGCCATATGGTCTCAGACCCATTGCAACGAAAGAGTTTCTCTCAGATTTAAATTTTCTTTTCTTTCTTTTTTTAAACATAAAAATAGTGTGAGTGTGTCATGTGATTTCTTATGTCTCAGACATGTAGCAAAACGTTGCATTCTTGATTTATTGTGATAACATCAATGACAGTTATGACAGGGGAGTCCAGATTACCTCAAATTTACATCTTGTGTACCTATTTCTGTTTGTTATTTTACCTGCAGTTTTTAATAAATGTTTTGCAAAGTAAAATCGAGAAACAGTTAATGGTTTGTATTATAATTGAATTTTTATTTTACCAAAAAATATCAGGCTATAACAAGCCTGCATATTATACAAGAGTGGATATACATGATATTTTAGGGTGTGTTTTGCAGAAAAGATAGCGTTGTCCCACAAAATATAGCCAACACTGGGTTCATTTCATTTGGTTTTGGTAAAGGGCTACTGTCACTGTGGGCTAAAAACTATCATACAGGAAGAATGTAAACACAGTGCACAAACACTTAAGAATTTCTCTCTCTCTCTCTATCTCTCTTTCTCTCTCTTTCTCTGTTTCTCTCTCTCTCTCTCTCTTTCTCTCTCACACACAGATGCAGCATGTACATGCACACACACACGCAAACAAATTATGTGTTTCAAAATCATACATTGCAGTCTTTTTACATATACATGTTATAATTTGAAACTTCTAGATCATTGGTTCTCAACCTTCCAAATGCCATGAGCCTTTAACACAGTTCCTCATGTTGTGGCAACCCTTTAATACAGTTCCTCATGTTGTGGCAACCCTTTAATACAGTTCCTTATGTTGTGGCAACCCTTTAATACAGTTCCTCATGTTGTGGCAACCCTTTAATACAGTTCCTCATGTTGTGGCAACCCTTTAATACAGTTCCTCATGTTGTGGCAACCCTTTAGTACAGTTCCTCATGTTGTGGCAACCCTTTAATACAGTTCCTCATGTTGTGGCAACCCTTTAATACAGTTCCTCATGTTGTGGCAACCCTTTAATACAGTTTCTCATGTTGTGGCAACCCTTTAATACAGTTCCTCATGTTGTGGCAACCCTTTAGTACAGTTCCTCAAGTTGTGGCAACCCTTTAATACAGTTCCTCATGTTGTGGCAACCCTTTAATACAGTTCCTTATGTTGTGGCGACCCCCATCATACAGTTATTTTCATCGCTGCTTCATAACTTCAATGAATACTGTATTTGTTTTGCAATGGTCTTTGGCAACCCCTGGTAAAGGGTTGCGACCCATAGGTTGAGAACCGCTGTGCAAGATAGTGGTATAAAAACATTTTTTTTTTTTAAATTTTCCAACTGCTAATCAGCTATTAAGAGGAGCAGTTGGACACATGGCTGAAACATGGGTCTCTTTCAGGTCCTCATTACTCAGTAAAATAATGAAAGTTTTCGTTTGTTTTTGTATTTTGTTTGTTGTCATGGGCAGAAACAAACGTCCTAACCTGAACAGTTTATGACAACTGCTCTAGTCATGCAGCCTGAAATCCTCAAGTCCATTACCCTGTGCCTGTTCTGCACTGCCATAAAAAGTGGTAATTGCAGGCAATAAAGACCATCTTAATAGATTTTTTTCGACATGTTCAACCAGTATCTGAGAAAAGTAGATGTTTACTGTCCTGAGGATCTGAGGCAAGGGCACCATCTTTATGTTCCTTATTTCATCTTAATGTCCACAATTTCAAAAGTGGTCTGCTTTAGTTACAGGTGGAATTC